AGTCATGGGACAGGGAGATGGAGAGGAGCTGTCAAGGACTGCCTCCCCACACAGCCAAGCTAAGACGACATCCTCCAACAGACAGAAAACCTCTGCCTCTTTTAGTCAATGACCCAAAGAGACACTTCACCTGTGGGCTGACTCTTGCAGTTTTAGAGGGAAATTGGTCCAAATAGGGCCCTTGAGCTGTGCCTGTGCTGAGGCTGAGCACAGTAGAGACCAGGTAAGCTGGTGCCTCTGTGAGTCATGGCTTTGCTTGTTACTGGATGCCAAATCACTAATCCCTGCTTCCTGTGAGGCCAATTGAAAAAGGACAATGAAAGCAAATAAACAGAAAAACAACAAACTATTTTTTAAAAGCCCAAAAAAACCCCCACAAACAACCAACACAAAAACTTCCACACAGAAACAGTACTTTCCTCAACAGAACTAGCTAATAAAGAACATAAAGGCATTTGGAGTTTTACTGGGTTAGGCTTCAATCCTTATTACAAAGCTTATCAATTATTGAATCATATTTATATTAATTATTTAGTGAACCTTTTATTTAAACAGGCATTTGGTAGCAGAGAAACTGGAACAAACCATTTAAATCCTCAGCTTTATAATCTAAATAGGTAGGCTTAGTAGAGATAAAAGTCACATTTTACAGTGAAAATCTAATTGCTGGACTCATTTCACCATTCAAATTTGTTTCCACTCCTCAGAAACAGCATGAGATGAAGTTAAAAAGCACCTTTGGTGCCCGGTACGGAGCATGATACCCTCCCCAGCACCCCACAATCCTGCCACAACTTCCCCAATAGTGATGGCAGAAGAGGCCAATGGCCCCTGTCCGATCACCAGCACCATGGGGAGGGACAGGGCTTCTGCCTGCCCCTGCCAGAGCAGAGGCTTAGGGGGTGGTCCTCATCATTCAGCTAGAATGAATCTGCAAACCACAGCTCTCTTCTCACTCAGAGCCAGAGGCAGCTCTCACAGCTGAGCTTTTCAGCTCCACAGCAAACATTCTGATGGGTGCACTTCAGATCTTGCAGCCGCTTCATCCTGGGGTTGCACACAGGACTCATCCACTCACACAAAGAGGATGACTCCCTGAAACTAGAAAACTGAGGATAAGTCTGTAGAGTATTGTGACCAGCAATTATGTCTTTCCAGTCAATATTTAAACTCCAGCAGTGGAGTTTCATGAGGGAACTTGCTCCCAAAGCTCCCTTTGAAAGCTGTATGTGCCTTTCCCAGCTCTGCAGCCAGCACAGGGCTCCTTCAGTGCACAGGCTGTGCTGCACCTGGGCTTTAGGAGTGTTATCCTCAGATGACACTGCAACCCTCTGTGTGTGTGTGTGTGTGTGTGTGCGCATGTGTTAAGTCTCACCTTTCTCAAAGCAATCAAAGTGCTTTAATTACTTCAATGCTCTATATGCACAGTAATAGAATAGAACTGTTAAAGCTGAATCGTTAATCATTTGAGCTAGATCAATAAATAATCATAATACTACTGTGCTCATAAACAGAACCTTCCAGACACAGACACACTGGAAATAAAAAACAGCCACATGGACATGTGCAAGAAAGAATGAAAACAGACATTCCTCACAAAAGTTTTTTTTTTCCCCTAAGTGTATAATAGTGAGATTTGCAAAGTCTCAGAGCTGTGAACTGATAATTTATTCCTAAAACAATTAGAAGCTTTTGAAAGTTTTAGAACATAAAGAGCAGATTAATAATTATCATATCTGGTATTATTTCTGTACTATAATTTTAAAACTGATCAGACATGCAAAAGGACACACAAACATGAGCAAAGTGATCATGACATGCCAAGGAGCAGTGATGGGGGTCTTGACCTGTGTAGGAGTTTTATGTAACAAATTTCCTGCAGTAATCTAAAAGTTGTGAGAGAAGGGGGGAAAAAAAGTAGGCATCCAGTCACTACCACTCAAACTCCATTTTAATGCCCATGACATCTTGGAGAAATGCCTATTTAATTATGTCCTAATTAGGAGCCCTCCCATCCCCTCATGTCTCAGCTCCCTTCTTCCTCTCAGATAACTCTGGGAACTGGAGAAATAGCAAGCACAAGATATTAAATAAAAATTAGAAGACTTGTCAGCCCTGCTACTTGAGTATTTTCCTGTTTTCAAAACAGAGCCCTGTGTGCTCCACAAAGGTGCTCACCACCAGACAGGGCATCACAACCAGATCCAGTATCCCAGTTCTCACTAACCACCCCTGCAATGTCCCTTTTCAGTGTCTCCAGAGACACAAGTCCTTTTTTCAAGACAAACCTTCTTCTAGTTTCAGCATGTTTCCAGGAGTGAAATTCTTACACAAGATTAAGTAAACAAACAAACAAAATAATCCCAATGCTCCTCTAATAAAATCTACATAAGATAATGCAATTTTCATAGTGCATGAAAATAACAATAAAGATTCAAGCTCTTCTAGAAATCAATGATTCTCCTATTTCAAAAGCTTCTGTGCAAACAATATTTCCTTGAACTAATACAATACATCAAAGTAAAAGTTGTAATTTTACTATAATTGCATCAATAGAGCAGTCACATTCCTCCATACAAAATTCTGAAAATGAAATTTTAAAGCATGGTTCTTAAATACAAGAAGAGAGAACAAAATAACTTATTTTTTTGATAATTAAACGGTTAGCAGCTAAATTGCACTGTAATTGATTGGAAATTGCTTTTTTAATGAGATTTAGTCATGAGCAAATGTTTTTTTCTTCAATACGTCCTATGTGTATTGGGGTCATTTAAAGAGCAAACTGTCCTCCTGGGCTGTCCTGTAGAGATTGAACTTTTCCTAAGAAAAGCCGCATCACCCAGCAAAGGAGTCCCAGCCCCGCAGCTCAGCTGTGCTGGGCAGCCGACACTGCAGGGTGGAGGCAGGAGGGCACTCAGGACATGGCAGGCGCAGGCGGTACAGCGGGTGCAGGTGGGCACTCCTCACTGCCTCAGGAAATGAACTTGCACCCTGATAGCTCTGCTGTCTGTTTGGCTTGTGAGCAGTGCTCCAGGAGAGGCCCCAGCCTAGACAGTCTAAATAGATGAAACAATGTGACAGAAAGTACTAAGCGTCTTTTTAAAGATGTATTATTTCAGACCTAATGTACTACTATGATTAATACAGTGCGCACAAAAGATAAAGTAGCCTTTCTTCAACACCAGAAAGGCCATTCAAATATTTGTTTTCAATGATATAGGAAACAGTCTAAAAGAAATCCTGTCCAGTCCAGCTACTTTAAGAGCACTGAGTATGCACGTATTAAACATAAATTATTATTTCACAACCATTAGTTACAGGAATTTTCCAAATGCTACAGGAAAAGAAGATTTAGAAGAATCCTGGTTATTGCAAACAACCTATTATGTACAACAACACGTGCATTATACAGTTAAGTCCTATTTTTAGTGTTTAGTTTCCAAGACTTCTATTGATGTGACTTGGACTGCAATATAAACAGCAGCGATCGCTATCATTTGTTGCTGCCATAGCAACAGAGAAAATTAAAAGGGCAAACACTGAAGCTGAAGTGGCATCACAGTTGTAGCTTATAATTGCCTGACAGTAAAATGCTGTGTGCAGGGTAGCAGCAGCACTTGCAGGTATCTGTGAAGCAGGTTTGCTTGCAGAGATCAAAGTCATTTAGGTCAGGTTCTGAAATCAAGAATGAGCACCAGCTCTCATTTTTCTACAGTTCCTTCTCTTTTTTTTTTTCCCTCTCTCTCTCTGTCATGTAGGTAGATTTTTAAAAAGGAGTTCAGAGCAATCTTACAGAGATTGAAGCTATGTCTCCATTCTTCGGGCTTCTAATTTGGAACTCCAACGTAACTATTATTCGTCACTTCTGTTCTGGATTTTAGAATGTAGTGGAGAACAGAGTCCCCACTATTTATGCAGTTTCCACAGCACAGAGATGAATTTGCTTCTGCTTTGCTGCCTCTGCAAGGTTTGCCATCCCTTGCAGTCATTTCTGCCTATCTTAGTCCACTCACTCTCCCCTACTGCTTACTTGCACTTTTACTGCACTTCTTTCTGAATTTCAGAGACATGTGTTCATATACCATAGGAGAAGATGGTCCTGGTGCTCTATATAATAGTTTACTTTTTTGCAGATTTTTTTAAATAATCAAAAAAGTACTTGAGCTCAAGTTTCTGCCAAGTTTTATCTCAGTGTGACTCAAGACACCCAGAAAGACCTTCAGCAGCAAATGAAGATATGTCAGTTATGAGATACTACACAAGTTAAATAGTTGGGTATGGTTCATGAAATACATGCTGTTTGCTTTAACATGCTGCGGCGGTTTGGGGGCCGTGTGCTGGCTCAACAGATGACTTTTACCCTCTGGATTATTGAAAATCGACGCTCGTAGAAGACAACAGTAAGACAATGAGATCCCGCATTGTCTTTTGCGACAGAACCACTGAGAAGCAGCAGTGGGCAAATTTAAAAATAGGTCATTCAGCTTCTCCCCATCAGCTCACTGCAGGGTATATTGTCAGTTTAATTTTCTCATTTAGTTCCTTCTGCTTCCCATAACACTGCTTTTGAATCACAACAGTGTTTGGGAATAGGATATGCCAGCTGGCTTTGCAATATTTTGTGTATACACAAAAATCCTGCCTTCAAATGAGATTAACCTTTGAACAAAATTAATATGCACACAGCATAGTGAGAAGCAGGCACCAGCACACAGCACCTAGGAAATGGAGAACTATGAGGTGTCCTTCATTCTGGTGCCTCAGAGATTGGTGTTAAAATTATCACTACAACAAAGGATTATTTTAAAAAATACTGCATGGAGAGGCATGTAGGTAAGGATTTACTAGGGAAGGAGGGTCATACAAAAATGGATTGCCTCCTGCCACTGCCAAAGTATAGAAATGTGTCTTAAGCTTTTTTTTTTTTTTTTTTTTTTTTTTTAGAAACAGACAGTAACAAAATAAATCCTCGTTACCGAGCAGAACGACGGCACACTTACATTCTTGGCTTCTCTAGTATCTTCCAGCTCTATCTCCTGGGGAAATCCAGGCCGAGTCCTACGCTCCTCCGCCGCTGCCCATGGAAGCGCACGTTGGGTCTTTGTTGCCATCTAGTGACAGAAGGAGAAGTACAGAGACAGATTGCTTACAGGTGTTTTGCGATCCATCCGAAATGTGCTTTGTTTTGGAGACTCTCTTAGTACTGAGACAGACTCCTGGCAGCTGGTACACCTGCACACAGGGCGCCAGAGCCTGCTGGGGGGCTGCAGGATACTCCAGGCCATGGACACCTGGCTCGCTGCTCTCTTTTTCCAGGTGCTGTTATCTTTGACTCAGCTGCGACCTGACGTTATGAATTACTAAATGGTTCCGCGCCTGAGCTGGCCAGGCTGCTTCCAGCTGTCCTCCCGCCCGAGCCCGAGCCCGAGCCCGAGCCCGAGCAGCGGCCCGGTGTGGGGAGCCGGTGCCGGTGCCGCCCAGAGCCGCACGGTGCCATCCGCAGCCACACGGTGCCATCCACAGCCACACGGTGCCATCTACAGCCACACAGTGACACCCACAACCACACGGTGCCATCCACAGCCACACGGTGCCATCTACAACCACACGGTGCCATCCACAGCCACACGGTGCCATCCGCAGCCACACGGTGCCATCCGCAGCCACACGGTGCCATCCGCAGCCACACGGTGACATCCACAACCACACAGTGCCATCCACAGCCACACTGTGCCATCTACAACCACACGGTGCCATCCACAGCCACACGGTGCCACCGCAGCACCGAGCGCCCAATGCCCCGAGGGCTTTTGCAGGGAAAACGCCTCTCTAACAGGCCAGGTTTTCCCACCCCTTCAAACGGCAGGGCTGGCAGGCTAAGGCCCGGCCTCTGACCTGAGGCAGTTTTGTGGCTCTTTTCAGGGGCAGAATGTTGTAATAGTCACAGGTCAACAACATGTCAAAAGACAGCCTTTAACAGCTTGAGGTGATGTGGAACATGTGGCATTAGAGTCCCTGGGTCGATAGGAACATAGTCTCTTGTAGGAGGGCAAAAGATAATCATCTTTTCTTTTGTAGAGTTTGCCCAATGGCCTTGCTACTATCCAAGACATACCAGGTTCTGTGATCTTCATGGGCTCTTTCAGTCTTCTATTCTGTGAGAGATGGCCAATTACCCTGAACAAAGAAATGAATGCTTTATCACTTAATTGCAAACATATAAAGAGAAAGACTCATCAGTCATGGATGGAAATTGAGGCGGCTGCTGGGTTTGGCATTGTCCATGCACTGACTCCTCTCTCTGCCAGATACTGCAAAATCGCCCACGGTGGTCTGAAAAGAGAACATGCAGAGGAGAGAAGGCTGTGAAAGAAACCTCTGCACAGCGAAGTAGCAAAAGAGCAGGAACTTGGGAATGTGAAATGCATACAAAATACTTTTGTTTCCTACTCAATGGCAAGCATACTCCTGCCATGAGGTTCTTCCTCTGCTGCCTCACTTACAGGAGACCTGGATAACACTAAGGAAAATCCTAGAAACTCTTGAAATCCCCCCTTTGTAGGAGTGAAGATCTCTTGCCAATTTTTGCACAACTTTCTCTCTCCTGACATTATTCTGCTGGATATCCTTTCTTCAAAGAGCAGAGAGGGAAAAAACCCTGAAACTGAAAGGCTCTATCACAGTAACTCCACCCTAAACAGTGGTTTAGCCAAAAAATTTTTAAAGGAGAAACAGCAGCATTGCCAGACAAGTATTAGGGTTTGATTTTCAGTGACAGTTCCACACACAGATTAATTTGCTAATCCTTAGAGAAACTCTGGGATCTCAGTTTCCTTCTTTCCCATATAAGTTTGGTTTACATAAACTGGTACAGCATGTAGCAGGGTTCCTGCACCCCACCCCTGGCTGGCCTCTGTCCCCAGCACTCAGGCATGCTCCAGCCCAGGAGCAGAGGGAGCCTGTGGCACCCTCAGGAGGGAGGCATGGCATGAGAGGTCCCTCCAGGCTGCAGGAACTCAGGGCTGGTGGTGAGCAGGAGGGTAGGGGCATGCTGCCATCCCCTTCACCTCTTGAGGGATGGTCATGGTAGTATTCAGCCCCTCAAAGCCACCTTGGCCTCCCTGGGGCAGAGCTGCTTCCCTTGGACAAAAGCGGCCAGCTCATGGCAGGTGTCTTCCCTCCATCTCCACCCAGGAGAAACCCAGCCTCGCGTCCCCAGGTGCACATGGGATTCCCAGCTGTGCCCAGCAGATGCCCAGGTGTCATTGGTTTTCCAGTGCCCTTGGAGTACTTCAGGGTATCCAAGTACATTACAGGCAAAATCTCCAACCTTCATTAGCCTTTCATCCCTGGGGATGCTTTGCTGTGATTGGATGGACTGACAGCACAAAGGCCCCAGGAACAGCACATCCTGTCTCCTCCTGGACCACAGCAATACATTTGTAAATAGGAAACTTCGGAAGATATATAAATTAGAGAGAAAAATGAACAGAACTTCATGTTTTCAAAGCCAAGAAGTTTCAAGACTTTCTGAAGGAAGGTCAAGCATTTGTGTACCTGCTGCTACAACTGATCCCTTATACCTGTTTGATGCAAGTGGTGTCTCTGATGTGACAGTCCCTACCCATTGTGAAACAATGGGATGCAGGAGATGCAGAAAATATTAACTAACCTTCTTAGTCTGTCAAGTAGGGGCACTAATATTAATTCTTTCACTTTGCCAGAGTATCAGAAAAAAATCATTCACTAGTCTTTGCACAGTGTATCATAATGTCATAGACAACAGCTGCCACAGATGTTTCTCAGAAATTGGTGTGGTTCATTTCCCATCCAAACAAGCCCCTTCTGTCCCCCATTCTTCTTCTCTGGGAAAAATGAAAGAAGAAGACAAAGGAAGCGCAGTAAGCCATTATTTAGATCTGGGAATAATGAATGTTTATCTGGATTTTGTAACACAAATTATGTAATGAAGCAGAGAAAAGGCTTTTGAACAAATATGTTAATGAGATGGCAGCTAAGGGAGAGGTTACAGAGCTGCCAATTCTGAATCAAATTTTGAACGTGATTTTCTTTTGGATCTTCTTTCTTTTGTAGTCGTTAGCCTGCACAGCATTTGAATGGCCTTTAGGACACAAACTATATGGGAAACATCAATTCTAGGTCAAGAAAGACTGATCAGCAACATATACTGACTGAGAAAACCCCACTGACTCAAAATTCATAATGAGGGCTTTTATGTAGAAAGTTGTTGGGCATGGGGATTGTGCCGAAAGGACTGTTCATTCAGAGTCTTTAGAGCTTTTCCTGGAAAAATATCAGATGCTGCACTGGGAACTTAGTTGAAAGCTACTCCTGAAGCAGGACAGTGGACTGGGAGTAACTGGGAAGCACTGACTGGACGGAAAATGGAGAGCAATGAAGGAGTGGTTTTCTCTGAATGCTGGTAATAACTCTTTCTATTTAAATTCTGTGTAAACCTTCTAGTGCATAGCATTACCATACAAGACCTCTTCTAAGCATCTTTTGAATGCAAGAATCATGTAGAGGTAAGTTCTGAGCTGGTTATTTTTTAAATGTAATTTTCAAATGCCCAAGAAGAAAACATTATTTTTCTACTACGTCCTAGAATATCTCAGGGTCAGTTGTTTTAATTTGTGTTTCTGATTCCCAAGTATGATTCGACTTAACAGTCCTTGCTTAATTTTATTTTGTTAAAACTTTTGTATTGCTGGCTGTTGCATGGAGCTTGCAACATGAAAGAACTTTAAAAAGAATGTGAAGAGCTTTTGTCTTGAAACAGAGTACCAGTTATCTAGGTCAAATGGAGTGTTTAGAACAAGCAAATTGTACTTGTGTGCTTGGGCAGCATTTGAGCTAGAGGCAGAAAATACGTCTATCTGTAATTAAATGAACCAGCCTCTGCCTGTAAATCCACCTTTTTACAGGCCATTCCTATCCTCCAATAACTGGAGTAACTGGGATGATTGCCTTGTAGAGAGTGCAATATATCAGAAAAGCAGCTTCTCAGGAACAAACTAAACTATAAAAAAATCTATATTTTGCCATTTTTCTACTTGGACTAACCCTGGAAATCCTACTTTCTAAGTGGGATTGTTTTTCAGTCCCTTTCTTTATGAAATAATAAAGGTCAACCTTTCTTTAATAGTCTTCAGCGGTTCAGGTGCGGCTGTTCCTGCCACAACTGTTTCTTGCCCAGCCATAACTAGCCCAGTCCCTTGAGCTGGCTCTAGTGCTCACTGAACACTTCATTGAACCTATTCAGCTCACGAACAGCAGAAAAACGTTCTGCTTTCTTTGTCAAGTTAAATTAAATGAACCCCAGAGCCACCAGCTGAGAAACATTGCAAAGGCCAGGGAAGGTTGGTGGCAGTCAGCCACAGGATGGGCTTGGCTCTGTTACTCAAACCCTTGATTCTTCACATGCTTCAAAATACCTGGGTTTATTAGGACAGCAGACAGCAAATGGGAGAAATGGCATCTTGCAACCAGGAAAAGGGGTTTCAAGTACAAGAGACCTGATTCAGCTCCTGGTTCCACCTCACATCACCACCCATGCCTAAGCCTCTTTGTAACTCAAAAATTTGAGTTCCTTTGAAAACTGATTTGAAACTTACTACCAAGAAGAACAAGAACAGCACATTATTCAACACTAGGGTATCTAAGGATGCAACAGTCTTCTGCTCCTAATGATGTCTGCAACCAAAACCTAGTTTTACCCACTGCTTCTAAGGCACTATTTAAAGCTATTGCTCTACTGTGTTCACAGCCATACTGACTAGAGGAAAGGATTCCTTTTTCTTGAAGGTGTGCAGCTAGTGCTCAATTACCATGAGCTGAATTTCAGGCTGTGGGATGTTTTTGTTTGACTGCTCTTTGGATCACCTAAAACTCCTCCTGGATGTTTTGCAAGTGCTTAGGCTCTCTGCAGCTCCCTTCTACCCAGCTATCAAACTGGTTCTGTAAAGCAAGTGGCCAAAACTTTGTCTGTCTTCTCCTTGGCACAGTGAAAAGGAAGCTCATTATCAAAGTATATGAAGGCAAGTTTGCAATAATTCCGCACAATAAGGGAATATTGATTCCATTTTCTTTATTGACAAAAAAAAAGGTCTGAGGTGTGAATTAGCTAATTTCATTGCCCATGGAGTCCCTTGGGCATTAATAACACATTAATAACTCTTCATTAATAACCCATATCTCATCCCCAGGTACAGCAAGTAAATCTCCTTTCACAAGATTAGTCCATCTAAATGGACTAATTTTGATTTTTTTTTTTTGTCTTTATTTTATTTTTTCTTCACTGCATCTTACTGAACAAGAAGACAACAAATCATATTTGCACTGGTCTATCAGAGTTAGCTTTAGAACAACTCCTTTAGAGCGACCTATTTGCATTTTCTTTTTTAAGTGCTTCTAGTCTTTTTTCCTTTTTTTTTTTCTTTTTTTTTTTTTTTTTTTTTTTTTTGACTAGGAACCATTTTTTCATTGGAGACAGGCCACAGGAATTCAAGTTTTGGCCAATTCCCCACTTTCTGCTAGACTTTGCACTGGTGTGAAGTGTGTTTCCTCTGTGTTGGTAAGTTACCCAGAGGGACTGCTCCGAAAGGTTTGAAGATTTGGAATCTGTCCAGATCCGGTTGGCTACTGTTTTTCTTAGTGGGCATTCACTGCTTTTATAAATGAAAAGTAACATTGGAGTGTCTTGTTTTGAACTTCTGTCACTCAAGTTCCTCTGGTCAGCAGAGGACAAAGAGTGCAAGCTGTAGTCAGAGCTCCCTCATTACTTGCTGTGGAATCTGAAATTCTTTATTTCTGTGAGTAATTGCATGGTAAGACTGTGCTAAGAGACTGCAGGATCAAATTGTTGAGATATTATTTATGCTGACTTCAATTTCAGGTGTCTGTTGTCATCCCAGAAGCAAAACCTAAAATATCAACAATTTGCTTGTCCTCTGTCTTGCTATCCCTTTCTGCCCACTCAGTCACGCTGGCCACCATCAGTAGGGCCGTCCCTTTGGATTCCAAGGCTGCGCTGTAGACAAAGTCACCAAAGTCAACAACATCAAAAATAACCTTTCAAGTTAACCTTCCTGGGTTATTTTTAACCCTGGTCCAGAGGCACAATGCCTCTCAAAATAATAGCGAAACACAGCCATGCATGCCTACACAGACCTTTGTTTTGGGGAGATCCCCACTGTGGTTTTAACTCTTCATTTCCCTGAAGGAGCTCAGTGCGTCCTCACCACGGTGTGAATGAGCGAGGGACGATCCTCCCTCGGCGTCACCAGCACCTCCCGAGAGGCCAGCTCCCGAAAGGGGCCGAGGCGGCGCCCCGGTCCCTGCACGCCGTCAGTCTGTGCTTGCCGGCACCTTTCTGCGGGCTCTGCCAGCAGGGAGAACGTTCTTACAACACTCTCCCGACTGGAGCCGCAGCTGATAGACAGGCCCTGAGCCGCTTTCCTTGGCGCGGGGTGGCCGTGAGGGAGGGGGTGCTGCGCCGGCCCGCGCCGTGTCCGGCGGCCCGGCAGGGAGGGCGGGCCGCAGCGGGGCCGGAGCGGGGCCGGGGCGCTCCAGGCGGCCCGGGGAGGCTCGTTCGCTGCCGGTGCTGAGCCGCGCCGCTGCCCGGGGCGGCCCCCGGCCGGGTCCCTCCCGTCCCGCCCGCCCCGTACTTAAAGCGGCGGCGGCGGGCACTGCTCCCGCTCGCGCCCTGACCGTGTCACCCCACAGAACATGGCCCCGACGTGCCTGCAGCCCCTGCTGAGGTACCGCTCCTTCGCCATCCTCTTCCTCACGCCGCTGCTGCTGCTGCCGCTGCCGCTCACTGTGCCCACGCGGGTAAGTGCCTGCGGGGCCCCTGAGGGAGCAGCCCGGCTCCGGCCCTGCTCCCGGTGGCTCCCGCGCATCCAACCCACCGTGCCAATTTGATGCAATTCATTCTGGGCCAAGACAAACCCGTTTGGAATTGTCCTGCATTATGTCGTAGTGATTGGAGTGGGCTGAGGGGCAGGAGTCCATCCCCCAGCTCTCTGCTGAGGGGCTGCTGTCACCTGCATGCTGCTTGGTGACATTCTCCATCCCGATGCAGTCAGCGCTGTGTTGTATGAATTGGTCAGGATTTCAAATGCCGTGTCCTCCAATTCATCCATCTTACTCCAGGGATGGCAAATGATGAACTCCTTTGCGTTCAGTGGAGTTACACCAGCATAAAATTGGAATAACCCAGGGAAGTTTGGGCTTTAACGCCTTGTAGCCTTCTTGACCAAATGTGAAAGCTCAGTTTGCAGTATTTTAGCCTACTGGAGCTTTGGTGGCTATTCTAATGCCAAAACCAGCCTTTCTTCTGAGCAACTTGTATTGCTCGGTCTGTTTTAAAGTACAGGAAAATTCTATCTGTTTATAAATCAAATTGTCAACCCTTCTTGTTTACCTGTCTAAGTTATACCATTCAGTTGAATGGTGGTGCTTTATATAATGAGGAATTCCTGATTGTTAAGCTCTACTTGATCAAAACTGGGAAAGATAATTTCCAAAAAAATTAAGTGGGTCTTCAGTTTGCAGTTATTTGTAGGCATATTGTGTCATTAATATAACCTAAGAAGTTACAATATTTCACTATGGGAAAGCAATATTTCTGTCAGTGACTGTTTTTTCATCACTGAGCCAGGAGGCAGGTTACTGTGTTTTGTGTCAACTGTACAGAAACACCAAAGAGACATTGTGTGACCATTTCCATAAATCACAGATATATATAGGTATAAATACAAATATATATTTAATTCCAAATCTTTGGTTGTTTGAATTGGCCACAGTTGTTGGAGTTAAATTATAAGCATGGTTGTATTTTTGAACTTTGCATAAATTATTTACTCTCTACTCTCTAAAACCAGTGTTTTGAATTTTATTCACTGACAGTTGTTTATCTGTCTTCTGTACTAGCAACAGATTAACCATAGTCAGTTCTACGCCTGCATTACTGTATTACTGCAGTACAGCATGAATTGTATAATGAGCTGACCTTATATTTATAAAAGGAAGAGACTTCAATAGGATCTGCCTGATATCTCCTAGTCTGAAGAATTTTTCTTTTCAAAACTTGTGCTGTAATTAATCTAGGAACTTGAGGGGCAAAAATTCACATTACTTACAAAAGGTGGTTTTGACTTCTTAAACTTCTCAACAAAATTAATGAAAACACAGCCCTACTTACTAATATCACCTGATGTCAGCTTTTAGGTGCCACTGTCACACCATTTATTTTAGCAATAAAGTCACATTTGTTGTATTAGAGTAAAATCCTATAAACACATGCCCAAAATAGGGGCAAATAGTGAACTACAGAACACCGACTTCAGCTTTCAAACAGTTCACTGTTAGCTAATGAATGCCTGCTTTTCCTGACAATTTTTAGAGTACAAACCACAGAAGGCTGGAATACAGAAATGCCTGGTCAACAGCCCAAAAATTCAGGTTACAACAATTCTAAACTAGGGAATCCTCTTAGCAGGTAGGGACAGTATGATTTGGGAAAGTAGTTTAATACCTTTAATGTGCTTAGTCACCCAAAAAAAACCCCAAAAAAACCACCCAACAAACAAATAAAAAACCACACACAAAAAAACAACAACAAAAACAAAGAGTTTTACTTTAGGAGTTACTTTAAAAAGTGAAGAACTTTTAAATTATTCAGTGAAATATTTTCTGAGCTCAACTGTGTTACTGGACGTACATTGAAGACTTGTGAATTTCAGGCAAGCTAATCATCCACACTGGGAAATTTGGCCATCCATTTTAAAAAATTAACTCCATATTGCTGTTCTTGGCTCCTAGATGTAAAATCTGCTGACCTCAACCATCAAGAGGTACTTGCACACAGCAAACTGTGCACTTACCTAGTGGTGGAAGATTTGTTTTTCTCACAGCATTTATTTTATGTGGATGCATTAAAGCAAGCACTATGGTCTTCTTGGTCAAAAATATCTTTTTATACAAGTGACTTCAGAACATGATTTAAAAGCACAATTTTAAGTCCTCATTCAGCATAACTTGTTAAGCTACAGACAGTGGAGTGTGTGAACCACTTTTAAGAGCTATCAATGTGTTTCTTATCTTTAAAAACAGTTTCTAATGCTTAAATGTGTCTTCTATTATATTGCAGGAGGCCAGATGTGCATATGTCATCATCATCATGGCTGTGTACTGGTGCACTGAAGTGATGCCCCTGGCTGTCACCTCCCTCATGCCAGTGGTATTTTTCCCTCTGCTTGGAGTTCAAACCTCTAAAAAAGTAAGGAGCTTGTGCAATCTAGGTCTGATACAGAGAAATCCAGTGCTCTGATCCCTCATCAATATTTAGCCAACAAGTCTGTATTAGTGTTCAGGGTTCTTATATGGGAAGATGCTTAACTACATACACATTTGCCCAAACTGTTAACAGTGGGGGGCTTGAGGTGGTAGAGGGGAGGGTCTGTTTTGGGCATGGATCCTGCTGGAGAGCATCCCACTAGTGCCAGCAGTTTGTGTGTTTCCAACCACAAAGGGAAAGTAGAGCTGACAGTTTTCCGGGAGATCTCAAAATGCAAGAGACAAACTTGTGAAAGGATAACTGGCATGGTGCTGGCAGGTCTGCTGTGTCCTCCCCAGATCTCTGCCTGGGCTGTTTGTGCTGGAAGCACAAGGCAAAGGCTGTGTTCAGATTCTGTAGCCCAGGTTCACTACTGCCCAACAAGCTGGTAAAGGCAGGTGTGGTTGCTGATGGTGCTGAGAAAGCCCTTTTGGAGCTCAATATTTCCGGCGCCTTCCATACTTTGAACCCCCAGCTGCATTTTGGGAAACTGGTGTCATTCTGCACAATGATGCACAAAGAGCTCCTGCACAGGCAAGTCAGCGCAGGAGATCAAGGGCTCAGGAAACTTCAGGGAGCTCTCAGGCAGCAGCTGCCACTTGTTCCAGTGTTGGTTGGGGCCTGGTCCAGTCCATGGATTTGAGAGGGTGGTAGGCAAATTGTACTAGTGAAGCAAGTATTTTGGCCTGACTTACCTTCTTTATCTTTCAGGTGTGCTTGCAGTACCTAAATAACACAAACATGCTCTTCTTTGGAGGGCTGATTGTTGCAATTTCTGTTGAGCAGTGGAATCTTCACAAAAGGATTGCACTGAGGGTCCTTCTGATTCTTGGGGTGAAACCTGCACTGTAAGATATTACTCTGTTTTTTTCTTACCACTTGGTAGTTTAGCGAAGGCCTAGGGATGATACTTAACAGTCCACAGAGAAAGGATCCTTCAAGAGCCAATTTAGCTGTACTTGCACAGAGTTTCCAGAAATGAAGTCTAGCAACAGGAGCAGTTTATTTGTACTTTATCCAAAAGTAGCATCTGACTAAATTTTAGAGGCTTGCCATTGGGGACAAAATTATGACAGACTTAATTATGCCCTGGGATTCCTTCAGTGAATGTGGCAGAGCTGTCCTAGAAGGGAGTCTGGCCCTGCTCTGTACTAGTGACTGCACACATCCCTGCCTGGGCTTTATTCTCTAAATTACAGTGACTATAAATCCTAGCAGCATCTGTTCACTTTCTTCCTCTCTCCTCTGTGTCTTTCTCTCTTTTCAGCCTGATGCTGGGATTTATGGCAGTCACTGCCTTCCTGTCAATGTGGATAAGCAACACAGCCACCACTGCCATGATGGTTCCCATTGTCCAGGCTGTCCTGGATCAATTGGACAGCACAGAGAATGATGTGACCCTGGTGGAGCAAGCATCTGGACAAACAAATACAGTGATTGAATTGGAGGAAAAGATCACATCAGAGTCCACTGCAGTGCATGGTAAGGGCCTGCTCACCAATAAGCTGATGCTACTGAACTTCTAAACTCAGCTCCTCAGCCTAGGAGTGCCATGTACCCTTTCCAAGGATAGAGGATGGTAACCTGACTGAAATCCTGTAAATACATGACAATTAGATGACAATTAGGTTTTACAAAATAGCTTTCAATTTTGATGGCTGGCATTTTGTATGCTAGTGCTAGATCTCAGATGGGTTGTTTTGTTCTTTCCTCAGAGCTGGAGTCAGTTTCCCTAGACTTAACCACCTGTTTAGGGAAGTGAAGAGCATATCCTGTGGGAAATAACCATCCAAACTCCCAGAATCCCACTTTCTAAATCTTGTGATTATCAGTGGGGATTCAGCTTCTAGGCCATGTAGGACTATTTGAAAAAAATATGTAAACACAATCTATTTTGGTTCTAGGGTAATAAATATCTCTTTATTGACCAGATTGTATGTGGAGGTGGGGAGAAGAAAGAGGACTACTTTAAAAGCCACATGGAAAAGAGGAACTGGTGTAATTTGACTCACAGTAGAAAAACTGTTCTTGTGTATGATCTTACCCTGATGTTTGACTCCTCAAGGTCTCCTGCCACCGATGTGGTTCTACGATAGGTTTCACTTAATTTTAAGTATGTGCAAAGTCAGACCTTCTCATTTCACTGCTCTGCTGTGCTGTTACACAAGGCTGTATTATTAAATATGATTAAAGATCAGATTCCAAGTGTAGTGAAGAGAATAAGTGTGCAAAAAATACCCTTTGATATTGTTGAGTTGGTTGTAATTGCCATAAATTCTTTGTCCTGCTCCATTACTCCAGTTAGACTTCAAGATTAGAGTGTTAACCTCAGAGAACAATGGACACAGCAGTAAAGTTTCGTGGTTATTGTAAATTGACATCATGCCAAGCAAGGATTTGGGTTTCAGTGGGTTTTTTTTTTTCCTGCCTGTTAAATCTGTTAAAGCTAGTTGGGTTCTCACTGCGGAACTGGAATGGTTCCAGTTACTAAAATATTTGGCTGGTGGTAAGCCTCTCTGTGAAACAAGACATTACTGAAGAGGAGTTGTGGCACTGATGTGGGCAACAGCATCCTTGGATCATGTAAACCCAGGCCTTCAGTCTCTTTCTTCTGCTCCTCATGAACATTAGTCTGAAGTATTTAGGGAGATATCTGTGGGTTTTTTAATTAAAATAAATGGCACATGCAAACTGGAAGCACTAAGCCTACAGACTCTATCCTGAACTCTCTGCCTTTCCAACTTTACCTGAGGCAAATAATTTTCTTTCTGTCTAGTTGTAAGCAATGAACAAGTCACTGATGACCCCAAATCTTCTGAGGAAAAGAAAATGAGGAAGCGTATATGCAAGGGAATGACACTTTGTGTATGCTATGCTGCCAGCATTGGAGGAACTGCAACACTTACCGGAACAGGACCAAATGTGGTACTGAAAGGCCAGATGAATCAGTAAGTAATTTTTGCTGCTTCTTTTAGTTACACTGTCATACTGTTTGTGTGACCAATTGACTGGTCTTAGATGACAATTTCACTTGTGAACTTCAAGCAACTAGTTGAGGAACTGAGACTGGGAAATGTATGAAGTGTTGGGCCTCATTTTTTTTTGCTTCAGCATCTTTTAAAAGGAAGCTATGTGATGGAATTAAGGTCTTCTGAGGAAATTGGAAATACTTGTTGGCAATCAACATGCAAGTGGTTGATTATGAGATACTGGTTCTTCTGTGTCCTCTTTTTCAACTGAAATGCAGCACATCAGAAGAGGAACTGCAGTAAAGAGCACCAGAAGAATGCAGATTACTCATAAGCACACTGGAGAGAGCTAGAAGGAACTTGGCCCCTCCTGTAACACTGTTCCTCCATGCTGTGGCTGTGGAAACTGCAGTTGTGTTGTTCTGTCATTGCTAAACTGAGTTTGGGAACTGATCTACATGGAATTCAATCTTCAGTGGAAATTTTTCCAACATTGCTTCCTTGTGTTGCAAGTACTTCAGCCTTAGCTACTACATTATCTGTTGGTTTTAACACCCAGCTGGAAGTTTGCTATTGATATTTTTCCTCCGATCCTTATTGGCAAGCACAGAGAATAACAAAAATTGCCTTTCTTAAAACCCTGTCTTCATTCATTCAAGCCAACTAGCAACTTTTTCATCTGTTGAAGGCAGCAGAAGTACAGGTATTAATTTCAGGAAAGACATTTCTTTCTGTCTTACTAGAATGAGTTGGGAGGAAGAAAAAAATATCCCGTCTTAGGATAAATGAACACGCATGTTAGAAGTGAAAGGTGTCTAGAAAGTATGGGAGATCTTTCAGCCACACTTGTCTGACTGAGACCTAAGGTATCAACATAAGCTCCTATATGCATCAAAGTAAAACACAGAGAAAACTGACAATCATTTAGGTTCTGCTCTGAAATCAGGCTGCCTTCCCCCATGACTTAAATCAGGCTGTGGATATGACCTGTGGTTGCTTGTAATGCTTGTCCTAGATTTACATGCATAACTGTCACTAGCACATATTATAGGGAGACTGGATTACTAAATGTTTTGACATTCATACAGAAAATAATTATTTTACAGGTTATACCCCAACAATAATGATGTTGTGAACTTTGCTTCCTGGTTTGGATTTGCATTCCCAAACATGGTCCTGATGTTGGTGCTAGCTTGGCTTTGGTTACAGTGCTCCTTCATGGGACTCAAGTGAGTATTTATCTACTTGATATTGCGTAAACCCCTCAGTAAGTTAGTGCAAACCAGCTTACTGAGACATCTGGCTAAAACAAATGCACTGACAAGTTGCTAATTTTGTAGCAGAGAGCAGGTCCGTTTCACAGAAATTTTGAGGTCTGGAAACCTTTTGTGTTCATAGGAGGTATATTAAGGCAAAAGCCATATACATTCTTAATCTTTAGAGAGAATTGCTGGTTTATCTTTCAGTCTCTCACCTGTGAATTTCAGCTCTGTCATAGCTGCTTTGCAGCCATTGATTCAAACCTGACTTTTTCATCCTGGGTTACTCCAAATTGACATCCTTTGCTAGACCACATTCTTCTGTGAGAACTAGTGTGTCCCCACAAAATACTTTGGCACTGTTGTAGTTTCTTTATTTATGGCCTCTGCTTTGGTCTGTATCTGTCCCCAAGAGGGGTGACTTCAGAGTGATAAGGATGCTAGATCCCTCTAATATGTTTGTACTTACAGTATTTTTTTTCTCCATTTTTTTCAAAGCTTTAAAAAAAGCTGGGGCTTTGGGACAGAGAAAACTGCCAAAGAAAAAGCTGCATACAGTGTGCTGAAGGCAGAAATGAAGAAGTTAGGCCCTATGTCTTATGCTGAATTTAATATCCTCCTCTTGTTTGTATTGCTGGTGCTCTTGTGGTTTTCCAGAAACCCAGGCTTTGTAAAAGGCTGGGCTGCCAGGCTCTTCCCAGGAGGAGAAAAGTAAGTTTTTAGGGTTTTTTTTCCCATCTTTTACCCTCTTGGTTATTAATCAGATTCCCTTGCTCATACATTCCATTTTGAATGGGGGCCATTAATTCCAACTTTACCTGACTTCACATGTTGGCTGGGCTTAATGCAATGGCTTGTACATGACACTACCAATCATCTATGATTTGACAGTTTGTACTGCAGTGAAAATGCTGGAGACTGAGACATGGAGCAAGCTGAACTTCCTAAAAGAAGAGAAAATTCTGTAATGTTGGTCTCGGTCACACTGACATACACCTTGGTATTTTGTTTGTATGAGCTCCAATCAGTTGCAGTGACATTTTAATATTTGCTAATACTGCCTTTGACTAATACCTTAACTCACTGGAAAATTGATTTGTGCTTTGAATGACTTCTTTGCATAGTATTCGTGCATGGCATGTTAGGAACATAAAATACATGTTGGGACTATGATTCAGGCCATTTCTTTAGATGTCTGTCTTTGAAATACAACTGTTGAATCTTGGCTTCAGCCAAGAGAAGGAACCTTGCTCCAGGAGGGATGAGTTGTCATCCAGGACTCTATTTATTAATGTGTAGCTTGTTTCTTTTATTATTATAAATTATGGCAGGTCTGAGAGACTTCAGACATGATCTAATGACCCATTTTACTCAAGCCCCAAATGGGATGGCAAAGATCAGTGACTAGAATGCTGGAAGGCAGCCCTTTTCTAGGAGAAAGGTCACCATTTTCTAACCTGTATTCTCTTTTCTTCATTAGGTATATCACTGATTCTGTTCCTGCTGTGTTTATTGCCCTGTTACTGTTTATCCTTCCTGCTCATAAGCCCAAATGTAAAGCCTGGAATCCAAGCATGTCTGACCCTGAACAGACTGAAGAAGGTATTTAAAAGAGGGACCGTAGTACTGTGAAACATCTAACCCACTCAGCTAACAAGGCAGAAACATGCACTGGATTTGCATGCAGTTCTTTAGAGCATCTCACCTATCTCCCTTGTTGGACAGGGCTGGGGCACAGTCCATGTTCGTGTGTTTTACTCTCACCCTGTGCAGATTTCTCAGTACTGTGCATCTGCCCACTGGTATCTTACAGAACAGAAGACAAAATGTCTTTGCTCTCCTAAAACATGTTCTACTCTTTGCTCTCCTAAAACATGTTCTACTTTTCATTTCTCACTTCAGATAAAAAAAAGCCATTTTTATCAGCCCCGCTGCTAGACTGGAATGTGGTTCAAAGGAAGATGCCCTGGAGCATTGTGCTGCTGCTGGGAGGAGGTTTTGCTTTGGCAGATGCAAGCGCAGTATGTCCTAATATCTGTTTTTCTCTGACTTAAAGGCGAACTTTCCTGGTTTGTTACCTAGTCCTGTATTACTGGGCATGCACCCAAAGCCAAACCCAGTGGCAAAGTTCAGATCTGAAGGGACATCTAAATTAGCAAAAACCAAGGAGGGGTGAATGTTTGTGAGTCTTCTCCAGGAATTTTTGTTCTCTGACCAAGTTTCTTAAATTTATCTTACCTTTTGGAGACTCCCAAGTAGGTTGACATCTTCGCTGTCTGGACAGTCCAGAAAAGCATCCTTTCTTATTTCTGTAATCATCTCAATCCCAGCCCTGTCTAGAAAAGTAGAAGTATAGATAGCACTTGTGAGATTTTCAAAACCATTTGAGGTTTGTTTGAAGCTTATATATCTTCAGACTTAAAGCAAAGCCACTGCTGAAGTGGTTAGAAAGAAAATCCTGGGTTGATGCTGTGTTCATAAATTCACAGAAAAGGCAGCTAAATTCCCAGAACAGGAAGGAATCTTGAGATGAACCATATTGTTTCTTTCATCACTGCTGAGATGCATCTAAATCAAAGTAAGCATTAGCTACCAGTAGTGCCATACTTTGGCGAAAGTCATGTTCACATCTAAGTTTTGTGGATAATTAGGTTTAAACCATGGGGCAAGTTAAAGCTCTGGGCCTGAAATTCATCTACATACATCACACATAGATTATTAAAGCTTCAGAGCATTAAAAACAATCAAGTCAGAGATTTTGTAACCTGTTTGTATCAACTACTGTCTGTGTTCCTACAATAGAGCAGTCATACAGAATCATAAACTTCAGAAACCTTAGAAAAATGTGCCAAGAAGCTTCTGGGCCATACATTAAGCATTTGCAATGGCCTCAGAAAAACTTTCTTGTTCAGCAAGAAAACCATAATTTTGTAACCTGTATGTGAGCAAATATTTGGTTTCCAGAAAAATCAGAAAAGTGGGATTCAGTGTTATGTCTAGTTGGCAAGGAATTTTTTTTTAGTTTTTGTGACAGATAATTGTACTTTCCTGGTTGGTGTTTGTATAATTCAGGACTCCTTTAGTATGTTGCCCATAACATGGCTTCCCTGTTTGTGAGTCAGGGGTTCTAAACCTCACTGAAACCCACTTATTTTCTTGCAGAACTCTGGGCTCTCAGCTTGGATGGGTCATCAGATGACTCCACTGGGATCTATCCCACCATGGTCCATTGCAACAGTGATCGCCCTTATTACAGCTGTCATCACTGAATGCACCAGTAACGTGGCCACAGCTACCCTCTTCCTGCCTATCTTTTCATCCTTGGTAAGATTGCTTCTGTCCTGCTACCCTGTCAGCTGGAGGATCAGAGTTAAACTGGGTGGCTAAGTAATACTATAATTATTGTCTTGGCTGTTGCTCCAGTGTATGTAAAAGGAAGCCAGGTCACTCTTTCTGTAAGGTGTGTGCCTTGGCCCTGAAGGAAGCAAAGTGACAGTCACTTTTTCAATACATATCAGCAAACTTCTGGTCATTTTGAACCATCAACTTAGAACTGGAAAAACACACACACACACAAAACCCAAACCAAAACAAAATCCAGCACTTGCTGATGATGCCTTTGAATTACTCATCTTGACATTTTGTGATAAAATACTCAAAGTGGTAGACCTAATTACTAGAAATGTGTAATTTCTCATAGGAGCCCAGAACAACTTTAAAACTTAGGAAAACCTGATAAGTTTTGCTGCCTTTTCTGAGCGGAATCAAAACTATGGCATAAAAAGAAAAATTGGTTACTTTGCTCTTTAATTAGAAAAGGACAAACACTTTATTTTAGACTATTTCATCAAAGCAAAATTACCCCAATCAAGGTACTGAGCTATTAATGACTTAAATTGGCACTTAAGTTTTGAGTGCCACAGAGTTTATGTAAAGTCTAAGAGTGTCACTCCACGTGCCTAGTAATTATAATTCCCATTCCTGGAAAAAGGGTGGTCCGAGGTCAAAGAAAAGATTGTTGGATATATTTGACCAGAAATCTAAATTATACCATAGAGCAAAACAAACAACATGAAGGCATCAAGCTTGTTTTTAAGTATCATTGGGAGGAAGCAACAGCAAGTTATCTATGAGCACATGTGGATTTCAGAATAAAAAGTTTGTGAATTATTTTGGTGATGTAATACAAGGAAACAAAATAAGCCTATGTATCTCATTGGTCTGGAGTAGATTGATCCTTTATGCTTCTCTTTTCAAGCACCCCCAGAGTGATATTCTCCATTTCATTGCAGGCTGAATCTATTAAGATCCACCCTTTGTATATTATGCTGCCTGCTACTCTCAGTGCTTCATTTGCCTTCATGCTACCTGTTGCAACACCACCAAATGCAATAGTGTTTTCTTACGGCCACATCCATGTTTTGGATATGGTAAGATAATTGCCTTCTCTCTTATCTGAAATTCTCCATTGCTTTCTTCCTGAAATATGGTGGGAGGCTTTGGCAGACATACAGGTTGGCCCAAGTGAAATGAAAAACTGATAAGTCATAAATCTCTGAAATCTGAAGGGTTAAAGTCCAGGCACGCCCTGCAGTGTTCTGGGCTTTGGCGAGTGTCTAAAGCCTTGTCTCCACTGGAGCTGAAAGCAGAAGGTAGCAATCAGTAGCCCTTGGCTCTGGTCCTCTGATTTTCTGCCAGACCACACAGGGCAGGTTCTGGGTGGAACACACAAACATTACTGGTTTTCTAACTGGGTACTTGAAGAGGGCATAAGCTGTTCTCTAACTAATAAGAATGACTTGTTACACAGGCCTTAAAGCTCCTTACCTGGTTGTATACATAGCAAAACGTTCAAAGACTTTGCACAGTGTGTTCCCTAGTATCTCAACCTAAACAAGAACAGAAGGCAGTGGATACAATGGCTATTTCTGTGTTTTATTTGACCATCTTTCTTGTGTATGTACAAGTAGGTCTTGCTGCAGTTTGCTGTGCTGGTGTTTAGGTGTTGCTGGTTTGGACTTGCTGCGCTGGTGTTTGGTTATTGTTGTTGGTTTGGATTTTTTTTCCCCACAGGTTAAAGCTGGAATAGTGATGAACATGATTGCAGTCTGCTGTGTCACACTGGCCATCAACACATGGGGAAGACCTATGTTTGAGCTGGACACATTCCCAGCTTGGGCAAACAGCACAAGAAACCAGTGACCTGTGAAGAATTTGTGTGTTGAACAAGGAAAGTACCCTTAGTATTCCCTGCTGCCTAAAGTCCTGTATAAAGTCTCATCACCACTTCAGATCCAGTGTTGGGTGTTTGCTGCCTTCCAGCAATCACACATCAGTTCAGATTTGAACCAACCCAATCTTACTCCAGTTGTGCTGGAGCCAAAAGCATTTGCAATTATACAACCTCTGTGTCAGAATCTTAAGTATGTTTGAGTGATCCATTGTGCATCCAATCAAGGTCAAGAATTAGGATTTATCAAACTTTCAATAAAGAGAGGGGAGGTTGTTGTATCAAATGGTTTGAACTATTATATCACTGGTATGTACTTGTAGATCATTAGATCATTGAAGATTGCACTCAGGCAGCTGTGGAACATTCCTTACCTATTCCTTATATCTACAAGTCAGCAACTATACAGAGAAATCCCTGTTGTCACTTGTCTAGTGAAGAAAGGGTACATGATGTTATGCAATGTTATACTTTCATTGGGCCTCAGCCGTGTGGTGGCATCCTTCCAAGTCAACATCCAACAGACTTTCTCTTGCCTTGTTTTCACTCCCAAGTCTCACTGCATTCAGACACCCTTACTGAGGGTTGAGATAACCTAACTCCATGATGGTCATAATAGTATCTCAGACAGTGATGCACTAAGGCTGGCACTGTGGCAATTAGAGGGCAGGGAGCCTTTCCCTCAGTCACAGGTGTGATTTCACATGCCAACTAGTGTTTTCCAAGTGCCAGCCTGGAGACGACCAGTGGCCCATGGGACTTCACATCTATTGCAGAAGTTCCTGAATTAGCCCCTGATGTGCCTTATTAATTAACTCTGGAATTTTTGAGTGAAGTCAAGACACGAGGAAGGCTCTAACTGATGATCTGGGGAAAATGTAGGGGCCCAGATTTTAGTGCTTTTGCTGGCTGACAGCAGTGGGAGTTGTCTTGTGTACTTTGGAATTCATGTCTTGTAAGAAAAGTAGTTTGTAACCTAATGATGCCATTTCTGTTGCAGAAGTAGTCTACAGAATACTTGGTGTTGGGCTGGGTATATTTTGTCAGTGGTACATGGATACCTTTCCTTCCGTGCTGGGGATAGAGGTGGGTGGGAGGTAAAGCAGTGTCTTACAGTAGGAAGATCTGTGGGGATTTGCTTCCAGACCTGCCATGTATCCCCATGCAAGTCAGTTCACCTCTTTGTGCTTATTTCCCCTCCTGAAGATGACGTTATGGAACCTATCTACCTCACCAAGGTGTTGTGAGGACATAAGGGTCAAATTCTGCAGCCACAGTGATTTCCCACCTCATGATAATGGGTGCAAGGTGTTAAGTTATAGAATCATAGAATTGTGTAGAAGATGTGGCATATAGCATAGCATTGTGTTTAGGATATTTAGTAGTTCTGTTATTAATGTGAATTTTCTTTATGGAAATACATTTTTATCTAGAAGTGAGGGAAATATTTATCCACAAAATGAACAGGTGCTTTTTTGAGCAGAAAACTGCTTTAAGAATTGTTTTTTGTGCCTTTATCTTTTATGCTCTTTCACGGTGCTAAGCACCATAAACTGTCCACTGAATGTTGTTCCCAAGTGCCACCAATGGCTCCATGTCTTCCCAGCTGGCTGTGTGTGGTGCAGCCTCACACTTCTTCCAGGAATGGTGGAGCATATGGATAAACACACTTTCACTTGCAGAATCTATCTAAGGACGAGGCCAGTTCTAGTGCTAAGAATTGGCAGATGAGATATTGCTCTCAGATATTTGTCACCACCTGAAACTTATCACAGTATTTTTTTGAACAAAGTGAAACCAGGAACAGTTGAGCACGTTCTGTCCTTCGCAGTCACCACGTAATGCTGATTCGTATCTCTAGGTATCAAAAGGCATTTGAGAAAGAGACTTTCTCTGCTTTCTGATGGACTTCACAGTGTGAGAACATGTTATTTTTGCCAGATACATGGTGCTTGCTCTGCTCTGCCTGACAAGATTCCGGGGAGCTTGCATGGGTAGATGATACTGAGCTTGGCCATCTCAGTTCATGTAGACTGAAACTCCTCTAAAACCAGTTCCAGCTAAAAGCTGTAGGACAGACAGTTCACTGTCCTGTTTGCAGAAAAGAATGTTCTGAAAGTTTATTGGAGGGGAGAGATTGCCCTCACCTCAGCTAGTGAAGAGCTTCACTCTGTTGCTGGACAAGAAGGAAGCAAATAGTATTTTCATCAATAGTCACACAGGGTGATTCATGGTCAGGAGTGCTGGGCCTGGGAAGTGTGCATGTGGGGTAATAAAGAGTGTTGAGTTTATTGTAACTGTGAAGTATTGGATGTGTCACCTCTCTGTACTGTTGATAGCAGCTTCTTTTTGAGACACTTCTATGATATCCAGATTGATTAATATTTAATTTAAATGGGTGGGTTGCATAATTAGAGCCTGGCAAATAAAAACTATCTAGAACTGTCTCCCCTCCTGTGTAACATAGTGGACCACTTGTTTCTGCATTAGCTTCCACTGTAGCACACTGTTGCCCTGGTAAGAACCTGGAAGGTACATGCTGTAGTGAATAATGCAAATCAGAGATTTGGACACCACTTTTAAGTGTCTTCAGACCTGAATATCAGTGGTTTCTCTTCTTTCATCAGCTAAGTGATAACCCAGGTTTGCATCTCTGAAGATGTTCAGGTGGGACCAAATCAGGTGGCATACCCTACAAACTGTCTCATTCATTTCAGAGTAAAGGATTATAAGAATCTAAGAAACACAATCAGTTTTTAAGAATTAATGTTGTACAAACTTTCCAATATAACAGGCAGAAATGGGCTTTTCTTCGGCAACAAGCATGCATGGTGTCCTGTTCCAGTGCCCTGAGTAAATACATGTTGCTTGGAGTGGACAATGCAAGGACAATTGCTTTGTGACTAGATCTGGTTTACAGCCCCTTCAGCTGCAGACAAGTATCATAGAAACTTACCAGATGTGGCATTTGTTTTGTTGCTCATCAAAGGAATATTGTTTTAGATGCAGAAGTTGTGATGGTCCTAAGGTAGTGGCATAAAATAATCTGTTTGCCCCTCACTTTAAAGCACGCACCCCCAGCACCTACAGAAAACATGGGAGTATCCTCAGTGTGGGCTTTGTCAGGGCGGGTTATTCAGCCACCCTGAGTGAGCAAACAATTCCCATTTTACCATATGAGGGCAGAGTGTGATTCCTTGTGGTCAGTGAATCTGTCAGCTGGCCAGCTGGCAGCACAGCTGGCAGTGCCGCCTCTAAGGAGCTAAATTAATGCTTTCTTATTTTCTGCCCTCTTTCTATGGATCCTTGGCTTTTCCTTTCTTCTCTCGAAATACCAGTTTACCAAAATATCAAGTTGCTAATGCTGTTTCTGCAAATACTGAGCGTCCCAAACCTGCAGCATTGTGATCTGGGCTGCTGTTGCACAGGGTTCCTGCTTGGTCATGTACTAGTGTGCAAACTTGTTCCCACAGTGTACTAGTGCTTGGGAATGGTCTCACAGCTGTGAATGAGTTAATGAATTACCAAACTACAAGAAAACATACAAAGAGAGAACAAAGGTAATTCCTGCCCACATGTTGAACATCTAGATCTGTGAAATAGAGAAGAAAAACCTTTCAGCATTCTCTACGTGATTAGAAGTTGTCCCCAAGATGAAGAGTGATCAGATTTGTTGGTGTCATCCACTGAGTTCAGAGCAGCAAGTAGTGCATTCCAGTTGAGTTCTGATCTCATTTGAACTCAGTGTTTGGCTTATTCAGCCTTTGTTTTCCAGCTCAGGTGTGTTGCCACTTGAAATAGCAATAACCTGGTTGTAGCCAAACACAACATTTGCTGACAAAGTTGGAATTGGACAGTTGGTGAAAATCATCCCAGAAAAAGAATTAGATCACTGCATCAGTCCTGGCCAAAATGCAGGAGTGGTTCCTTAACATGTTCCTTAATCAGTCCTAGCCAAAATGCAGCAGTGGTTCCTCTTCCTTTTTACTAGTGACATATTGTATACATTTTTACATACTTCACATCTTTTTTTTCCCCTGAGTGTCTGTGCTAAATATGTGAAGAAGTGGGTGGTAATGAATCCTGAGCCCTTGGATCAAGTGACAGAGTTTTCACAATGTTTTCCAGTGTGGGTGAATAAATGTGTGATTTTAGACAAGTCTGATCAATCTCTTTGTGCTATTGAGAGGTTTTCAACACTTCTGTGCCTTGCACCACAAGGCCACCAGTCTCCTGCAAGACAGGCTCAGCATTTGTCTGCATGGTTTAATGGCAGGGTGCTGATTCTCCTGTGCCCAGAAGAACCATATCAGTGGCAGCTCTTGAGTGGCAGATCAGACCTTCCCCTTTGTGTGTCTGTGCCAGCCCCTGAGTGAAGGGTCTGTGGCACAGAGAGGGCTTGCCATGCACTGCAGACTGCCTCTGCTTGGCACAGAAATTCTGAGGGAAGTACAGCCCTTAACATTGGGAGCACAGAGTAAAGGTAGGCATACCATGCTGCCCTGAGGTGATTGGGGACTGCTTAACACAATGTTTGGTAGTTATTTAAAAATAGAGCTGACTATACTGAAGCTATTTTTGCCCATTTTTTCTAGAGCACTTAGTCAATAGCTGCCCATTTATTATGGTGTAAATGTAGATTTACATTTACTGTAGATTCTGGCCATGAGAAAGAGGCTGTTTCTTCTGTCAGAGAAAAGATGTTATCCTTTCCCAGTTTACTTCAGTGCTTTATTTACCCACACAAAATTATTTCCCAGACTTATTTCGCACATGGCACTTCAATGAGTTTTCATAAGCTGTTTCAGTGAGTGTGAGCCTCATTACAATGTTCATAAAACTTTTTTTATAGACAAACCATTTTCTTGAAAAAACTGAATGTTCCATATACTAAATCTAATTTATTGTTGTTTCCTTTGTAAGCTTTTCTTTGAGAACAATAACTTGGTTTGGGTCTTAGCAAATATTTTAGAAAGCCAGCTGAAGATCAAATTTCCACCAGAAAAAAAGTTAACACAACCTTTCAATTAAGGAATTATTATTCTGGAGGAAATTTATATTTTATCTCAATATTTTGCCTTGGCTATATGGTCAGAAATCAGAAACATAGGAATGTATATTACTCCCGGCAAATGGCTGACTTCAAATTCGCCTGCTGTCCAGGTGTCCTAATAGAAGCCCTCACATATTTTTAACCAACTCATTATGAAAAACATAAAATGCTTTCTGACACATGACATTTAATCTTGAATTTATCTTTAAATTCTAGTGTTTGGCTGAAGCTGGAGGAGTACCACAGTCACAGAAGTCTGTGTGCCAGTGCCTTCAATACACCAACGTTTTTACACTATTTCACCCAGTTTGCAGCTTGCTTGAACCGTATTTGGCATCTGCGGATGAAGTGGTTGCACACGACTGTTATCGGCTGCCTTCTGAAATGCACATTACCTGCCAGTTTCTTGACCTCAAAAAAGTGAACTTAGTGAAGAGTTAAGCCTTTAATTAAATATGTTCTGACAATTGTTTTAGTCACTGAAAACTATGATTTTGTTTCTATTGAATTACAATTATAGCATTGGAGTAAAAAAATTGCAGACTTTGTGCTGGCTTGTTATATATATAACATAATGCATACTCTGCTCTCTGTTATTTAACCATATTTGAAGCAGGATGCTCTCCATCTACAGGAGCTGTCTTGCATTCTGTGGGTAAAATCCTGTCAGATGTCCATGTTAGTATCAGTTTGCATTCTATTCCAAAGCAATGGGTAAATGGGAGTGAACAAGAGGGGATGTCTTAGGTTTCATGCACTGGTGAAGCAGTGCATGAAACATTTCCCTATTTCATCTCACTTGATCAGTTCTGTGATGAAATTGCTGGACCTTTTTTCTCTCTGGTGCAAATGCACTGCACTATGGTGTCACAGAGGAATCTTTTGCAGCATTTCTCTTCCTCAGCGTTTACCTTCAAGATTCAACAGCATGCCAGATGAGACTTTATTTTCTCTTGTGTCTCATAAAACCGTGGTGGCTTCAGGTCCCAGAAGTGGCTCAATTTACGAGCTGTGTCTCTATGCTAGCTCTAATGAGTTAAGATAAACTTACTGTCCTAAACCATCACATTTCCAGGCAGGCAACAGCAATGACAGCAGTCTAGTCTCTATGAAAGGAGAAACTGAGGCAGCAATGTCATCCTTGTTCTATGACAATAAGACAAATTTCTGGCTCACAGTTATATTAACACATGTCCTGCAAGTTTGGCTCACCTGACATTTAAAAACAAAACAAAATGAAACAAACAAACAAAAAAAATTCAAACTTTTCTTCAATAATGTTCTTATATATAAAAATATTTAAACTATAAAATCTCATATACTAAAATCCTGATTTTCAATTTTATTCCTAATTTTGATGGACAAGAATTGAGATGTTTGACTTAACTTGGGCAAACCTACATTGTAATTTATTTTTGTGACCAATCCTTTTTTAGGATTCTCTCCTCTGAAGTCACTCTTGGGAAAGAAATCCTGTTCTAGAATAGCAATGCAGACACGTGGGATCTATTTGATCTCTTCTTTTAGATCAGAGTCTGTGTTTACTGGGGAGTGACTTGTTATGTTTTAATATAGTAATAGTAGTACTCCACAACCACTAAAATGTTGCCTAAGAAAGCAACTTTTTTTTATTAAGAAAAAAATATGCATGAATCCTTTTTATATGGTTTTTGTAACGAAATTCACAGGGGAAAATTCATACTGCATAGGAAAATATAGTATTATAGAAAATTGCTATGTTGGACGCCAAAAATACTTCAACAAATGAAAATTGAAAATAATTAAAACAACAAAAAAAGGAAAAATTAGAAGGATTTCAGGTAAGCCTGTAGAGATTGCTTCCACTGCTACTGCTCACTAAAGGAGCATTTGCTTGTTAATGGTTTTATTCTGAGACAACTGTGTTTTAATTAATAAAGAATTAAGTGTAGAGGTTGACAGAAATCTCTTTGGCTGACTGTAAAGTTACTACAAAAAACAAACAAACAAACAAACAAGCCCCGCAAAGTTCCAAACTTTGTCCAATATCCAGTATTTACCATTAAACTTTAAATACAGTTTAGTGTTTTAGTTGATTCTAAAAGTTGATTCTCTCCACTTCCTCTTGCTCTGGAAGTGATGAAGAGTGGCTTTGTCTAGTACAAAGCTAAAATGAACGTTCTGCAAATACAAACAAAACTTCATCCTCTTTTTATCCTTCCCAGCTCAAGGGGTATCTGGGGAAAAAACATGCCTGGAACAGTGACCTCAAAGCCACATTCTACTGGCTCTGGGACTGACTGGGCTCTGCGGCAAACGGACAAAACTCTGCCCGTGTCCCTGTCAGAAGGAATGTTCATGTTCGGGAAGAGTCGTGGGAGCTGGTGTCCCAGGAATGTCACTCTGTACTTGCACTGGGTCCCCTGGCACAAGCAGCGCGTGTGGGACTGGGCTTTTTTCCCCTCAGATGGGGAAATTCTGCAGGGCCAGCGACGGCGGCAGACAGCGGCGCCGCCATAGTTCCGCTCCCGCCGCGCTCCGCCCCCGCCGCGCTCCGCCCCCGCCGCGCTCCGCCCCCGCCGCGCTCCGCCCCCGCCGCGCTCCGCCCCCGCCGCGCTCCGCCCCCGCCGCGCTCCGCCCCCGCCGCGCTCCGCCCCCGCCGCGCTCCGCCCCCGCCGCGCTCCGCCCCCGCCGCGCTCCGCCCCCGCCGCGCTCCGCCCCCGCCGCGCTCCGCCCCCGCCGCGCTCCGCCCCCGCCGCCGTTGCTAGGCAACGGCCGCTGCATTCCCAGCGTGCATAGCGCTGCAGTTCGCCGGGCCGTTGGCAGGGGGCGCGCTCGCCGCTGTCGGGTGTGCGCGCCCGGACATGGACGCAGGTGCGGGAGCGTGCGGGAGCGTGCGGGGCCGGGAGCGTGCGGGGCCGGAGCGGGACCGGAGCGGGGCCGGGAGCGTGCGGGGCCGGAGCGGGACCGGAGCGGGGCCGGGAGCGTGCGGGGCCGGAGCGGGACCAGAGCGGGGCCGGGAGTGTGCGGGGCCGCAGCGGGGCCGCAGCGGGGCCGGGAGTGTGCGGGGCCGCAGCGGGGCCGCAGCGGGGCCGGGGAGGAGCCCGGGAGGAGCCCCGTGGAGCCGCTGTCGCGGCCGCTGTCGGAGCTGCCCAGGCCCCCGCAGCGCTGGGTGTGACGGGCCGGCGCAGGCCGAGCGGGGCCCCGCACGGCTCCCCCTGGAGCCCACGGCCCCGAGGCCTCTCCCGGGCGCGCCCGGGCCGCGCCGGCCCCGCGCACTGCGCCGTTCGCTGCCGCCGGCCGTGGCCCTCACCCACCCCAGCCCGCTTTGGTCCCAGTACGCACCGACTGCGATTGCTTTCAATCTGTGTGTGTGTGGGTCCAATTCTTACTGTTTTTATCTTGAATCAGATGATACAGGAAATCGACTTCGATTCCAGTTGGAGCTGGAGTTTGTTCAATGTCTGGCAAATCCAAATTACCTCAACTGTGAGTACTTAAAATAAATACCACGACCTGGATGAGTTAATATAGTGTAATGCTGTTTATTGTTACTGGTAATGTTAAATATGGAGAGAGGGCTAAACAAAGAAAAGGGTTTTCACAGCATGAAACTAACCTGTACATTATTTGTTTAACAGGTGGATTTTTTTTTTTTTAATGCAAAGTCTTTTGTTGGTTGGAATGCAAAAAAAAAAGCATTTATTTGATGGAGGAAGAAAATAACAAGTTCCAGTCTGTTATTAAAAAGTCATGTCAAGTTAACAGCATTCCTTTATCTGAAAACAGACTTTTACTAATGTGAATAGTTTTAGGTACTGTACATAACTCTCTGTTAAATTTGATGCTACTGTCAAAATTTTCTGGTTTCAAAAAGCTGTTCCATTCAATGAAAGATACAAACTATAAGGGAGATGAGGCCAATCTATTATTTTTTTGACATAAAAATCTTATTTTGTCCTGTGGTTTTTTAATTTGCCAAATATAAATTATTGAAATTTGATTGTAATGAGAAAGTTTTGACTTTGTGATTTTTTTTCAAGTGGGCTGATATTTTACACCCATCTGTAACTGTCAATTCCTTATTTGTCATTTCAGTTCTTGCACAAAGAGGCTACTTCAAAGATAAAGCTTTTGTAAATTATCTTAAATATTTACTTTATTGGAAAGAACCTGAATATGCAAAATACCTGAAGTAAGTGCTAAATTCTCTTAAGTTTCTGCATTTTAATGGTTTGGCATTGACCTCATTTTGAACACTGTACAGCAGCATGTTAGGATTTCATTTCTGCCTGTAGCATTACTTTTGTCCTTCCTGCAACATAGATTATGCATATGGTTATATGCAATGTAGATTCCCCTGTTTCCAATAGTCCACATGTAGCATCAATAGGCAAAATGATAAAAATTTCATGAGTTTTGCATAGAATCTTCCTTTAAAGCCTTAATCTGCACTTTCGATGGGTTTAAAATCAAACTGTTGAACATTAGGGTAAAAAAGCAGTAAGTGCATTTTAAGATCAATTGTGCATTATTGATCCTTGCATGAGGCAAAGGATGATTTTGTGTTTTTGCAAGTGTGCAAATGCCTTCTGTTTTTGGGAAAATTGTTTTGGTCATCTTTAACTGGGCTCTGGAAAGAGGCCTTGTAAAGCCTGTTGGATGGATGGATGGATGGATTTGGTCTATCAAACCAAGCCATTGGGGAAGCTACTCTAAGTAAGCAGGAATGTGCATGTATTACTGGGATTGGTTGTCTTGTTTCCTAGCCTGATGCTGCAGTTACCAAGTCACAGTGTTCGTGCTGAAGTTGTTTCACACTTGAGTAAAGCACATATGAGTCAAAACTAACGATCCACAGAAGTACTGGAGACTCTAGATTTAGTGTGCCTTGTAAAAACCTGTATTAAAGTGTGGTTATTTTTAACCCAGGTATCCTCAATGTCTGCATATGCTAGAGCTGCTTCAGTATGAACATTTCCGCAAAGAGCTGGTCAATGCTCAGTGTGCCAAATTTATTGATGAGCAACAGATCCTCCACTGGCAGCACTATTCCCGGAAAAGGATGCGCCTCCAGCAAGCACTGGCTGAGCAGCAGCAACAAAACAACACCTCTGTAAAATGAAAAGCACACGGAGCAGTGATGATAAGGTGTACTTTGTGTTAGTGTACAGCAGGTGAATGAACCCTTGTGCAAGTTTGGCTCTGGCTCTATGCCTTTTATTTGAATTTATCAAGTGACTAGGGTTGTTTTTGTTTCATCAACTCCTTTAAAAACTAATAAACACCTGCAATTTATTTTATAGCATGGACAATTTTGTATGCACTTTACTACAATAGTTATTGATTCCTCTTGATTTTGAAAACAAAATCTAGATTTGTCACTTACCAACCCTCTACAAAGAAGTGTAGCTCTAAAGGCTGTTCCTAGGAAACCTTTTCCCTGGAGAATAATGATGTGTCTTAAGAGAACTCCCTGCTACTTACAGCTCTGGGACAAGCAAAGGTGAAGTGATGATAGACAAAGTCAAAACTGCAGTTTTTCCTTGAAACCAAGCTGAGCTATTACATGTCACTTCTGTTTCCCTGGCAGTCATTGTTGATGGAAGTTTGTTTTCCTTACAGCGCATTGCACGGATAGAAATCAGGAGTGTACAGGGTGAGGTCTGGGGAGTGGAGCAGAGATAAATGCTGATAAACTCTGCAGGATAGAGAAGGAAACAAGCTGTAGCTGTCTCTGTTATATTAAACTCAGCTTCCTTGCATCTTGGCCTCTGCCTATAAAGCAGTGGCTGCTCTGAAGTCTCTTTACACTCCATATAACAAGAACAGGGTCTGTGGGGAAACGTGCCATTGCTTGGAGTGTTGGAGAAGCACTTGCCATTTATTCCTCTATAGTTTTTTATTCTAAGAACATAGCTCTTGGCAGCTGCCAAGGTTTTAATTTTCATATTTTTAGACTGTATTTCTGGTGCATTCATGTTGCATTTCCTGTCCTGGTAGGAGCAGGTACTGCAGCTGTCAGCCACCACATTATCACACTGGACTGAACAGATAAGCCATTAAACATCTTTGGCATTGAAAATATATCTTAACAGTTTCAGTAATTATGTGGTAAGGCTTAGGAAGGAGGTCTTTATGTTTCTCCCCTTCCTCCTTACTCACTGTAACTTTGCAGTTACATTTCATTAAGTGCAGGCTAATCTGAGTTTCTAACATGAGCTCAGCTCCTTTGAAAAGAGGTTGTTCACAAACTCAAGTTTATTTGGACATGAAAGGAAAAATACAGTTTTTCTTTTAAGATTTTAGTGTAACATTTGGATCCAGAATTTCAGGACATTTATCTTGGCTAGTCCAAAGCAATTAATCATTGGAATTTTAACAAAGGTCAGTGATTTCTTTAAAGGACAGTGCAGTAATTGAGACTACTATCTTCATCAATGATTGACTAGTGAGGGCTTTAGTCTTCGGTAAACAACATACGCACAAGCTCTGCTTTAAAACATTCTTCTTCAACCAGCTTCTGAGGCTGAAAGAAAAGTTCATCATTTAAAATCTAGCTGAGAGCCATTTGTACATACTAACATTAACCACATCCAGCACTTTGTCCTGGGGAGTGAGGCAGTGGGGGTGGAACAAGAAAGGTAACTATAACTGAAACATTCCTGAGGGTTTTCTGGCCTTGGAAGAGGCGTTTCTAAGAAAGTAACTGCTAATTTAACTAACATGTACAAGTTACAACAGTTACAACTTGAGCTGCTGAGTCTCGCTCCCGTAGTTCAGCGCTTGGATTTTTCAAAAGGAGCTGAAGTGCTGCAAATCGGGAACAGTAACAATATGTAGCTACGTTTCTCAACCCTTCAAGCACTATGAGCCAAATGCACGTGTTCCCTTCACTGCATGTTTATTACAGACATTACACAATAAGCAGAATGGTTCTCTCTTGAGGAACTGTTTGAGTGAGGAACAGGGAGCAGAAGAGCTGTTTAGAATGCTATGGTCTCCTTAAACAAGAGAGGGTTCTCAGAGAATACAAGTGACTAATTCATTTACAGCCCTAAATTCCTGCCAGGTCCCCATCTCAATGCTTGTAGATCCAGAACATAAATCACTTACTGTTCCATATTTAAGTAGTGTAGGCACTCCTGTTAGTTTCAGATTCGTCCTGAATTCATTGTTGGGATCCTTCCAGCTGTTCAGAAAGAAGGTGTTAAGCACAGCTTGTGGAGGGGCATTTTGAAATTAAAATAGCTTCAAAATTATTAAAAGGCTTTTTCCTCACACCTTCCCAATGCCCTTCTCAAAACAAGCATGCAGGTAGGTTATGTTAGTGATAGTGAAGACCTCAACAAATTATTGACTCTTTACAGAAAAGGACAGCATAGCCAGTTTTTTCAACACATTAACCATCAGTCCACCAAGAGAACAAAGTCATCACATTTGTCAGCATTCAAAGGTACTTACTAGGCTCTATCTCCTACTAGACAGTAGATGAAAACTGATTCATCAGGCAAGTTATGAAGTTCCTTCCTCACAATTGGCTCAGCTACAAAATAATTTTAAAAATATGTTAGTACTAAGTACTCGTGCTACAGAATCACATGGATTTACTTGGACCAGCAAGGCTGCTAATTAATGTTCTGTCTGCTTTAGTTAAGAGATCTGTATTTTGTTGCACCTGGCTATCCACAAGTTTTTCAGAGTTTATTACATGCTTGAACGCTGACTGGACTTGTGTTGGAGTAAAGGCCAATTTCTTCTCTAAGACAAGAGAAACAGTCGTTCTGTCATGTCCCGGGTGTGGCAGCCCGGCGCAGCGCCCTTCTGCAGGGTGAGGGTTCCATAAGGCACCTTCATACCTGCTCAGGCACGTGCAGCCCAGGCAGCTCAGCGCGCTGAGTACTGAGAAGGGAATGCGAATGTGCCGCCGGACAGCGTCGGGAGGGCACATGTGCAGCACGAGAGAAACTGACCGCAGGACTCACGGCTGTTTGTCTGCTGGGCCGAACGAGCCTTCGCCAACAGCCTGTGCCCGTGCCGTGCCCGTGCCGTGCCGGGCCATGCCCGTGCCGCTCGATGTGGGCAGCGAAACGGGCAGTGCGGCAGCTGCGGGTCACAGCCCGCTCAGGCCGTCGGGTTCAGCAGGGGAAAGAGCGCCGGGAGCCTGGGATCGGCACCGCTGTGCCGGGCCGGCATTTCCCGGAAAGGCACCCGGGGCCTCTCCGGCTTTCTCAGCACCGACACGGCCCATGCCGCAGGCAGGGCGCTCCCCCCACCGGCCTCACCCGTCACGCAGTCGGGACACCAGCTCCTGCCCTCGGCGTCCTTATCGCCGCAGAAGAGCGCGAAGATGGGCCGGCCGCGGTAGCTCTGCGCCGCCCGCACGAACTCGGGGTACCCGCGGACCTGCGCCTCCTCCCAGCCCATGGCGGCGGCGGCGGCAGCTCCGCCCGGCCCGGCCTGCGCGGCCGCCGTAGCTCCGCGCGCTCCCGGCGGCCCCTGCGGCGGCGGGCCCGGGTTCGAGGGGCGCCGGGTGCGGCCCAGGCGGCGCGTCCTGCCTCCCTCCGGCCCTCAGCTCCTCCGGCCCTCAGCTCCTCCGGCCCTCGGTCTCTCAGGCCCTCCGGCCCTCAGCCCCTCCCTTGCGGCAGCGCCCGGGGCCCGCCGGTGCCGGTGCCGGTGCCGCTCGGGACGCCGCTCGGGCCAGAGGCGGGAGCAGCCGCGGGCCCTGGGAGGTTGCAGAGAGGCCGGCCCAATCTTCTGTCTGCAGCTTCTCGGGCTGGTTCTCCCTTTGTTACTCACATTAGACCCGGGATGGCTTTTGTGAGTCTGAAGTAACGGTTTACTGTTCTCGCATGTACAGCTGTGATCACAAGCAAGGGGTAATAGCGGGATTTGCTCTCGAGCCGATGAGATGGTACGAAGCAAGACAGCGGTGTCCGATGATGCGTTTGCATCTACCACCCAGCGATACAGGAATGAAGTTAAAGCTTTACAAACACAGGTACCATTTGCTGTCTGTAGCGATACTGAATTGGTGTTCTTTGTGATTGCTACAGAAAGATGATTCTGACCCACTTCATGAGACAGCCCAGCAGGGAGTGCCATACTAGCTTTCCTGGTGCTGTCACACGAAATCTTGACTGTCCTTTAGTAAACCTAGAGATCACAAACTGTGTGTGTAATTATTCTTAATTGTCTGTTGTGGTTCAATCCCAGTAGACAGCTGAGCATATGGCCACTTGCTCACCCTCTCCAGTTGGGATGGGGAAGAGAACTGGAAGGTGAAAAGTTATGGGTTGTGATAAAGGCAGGTTAACAAGGAAAAACAATGCTTTCCTGTTTGTGTGCACAAACCAAAATAAGGAATTCATTCTCTACATCCCATCAGCAGGCAGAAATAAAGCCATTTCCATGACTTCAGCACATATAACAGTGACTGAGGAAGACAAACGCCATCACCAGTCCCCCCTTTCTCCTTCTTCCCTGCAGCTTTCACTGCTGAGCATGATGCCACAGGGTGTGGAATACTGACCTTTTGTCAGTTGGGGTCAGGCATCCAGTTGTTTCCTCTCTAGCTTCTTGCCCACCCCTAGGCTACACAGTGGTGAGCAGGTGAAGAGCAGAAAAAGCCTTGAACTCTGTGAGCACTGCTTAGCAAGAATGAAAACATTGGTGCGCTGTTAGCACTGTGTTCGTCATAAATCCAAAACAGTGCCATCATGACAGAGATGTATCACCTGTGTGTAGCATTCTGTATAACATCAGGGTTTTTTTTACACTTTGAACAGCTCCAGTTTAATAGAAATGTTCCTGCAGTTCCAGAGAACTTGGCTCTCAGATTCTCTCGCCCCCCTCCAATTGTAATAGAAAAACTGAAGGCATCCAGTGATCAGAGAAATCTCGTTGGAAGTGAGGACCTCAGCCTGAGAAGCTCTGGGATGTTCTCAGTAGTATCTGAAGAGAGACTTAAATTGGCTGTTCAGCTGGCCAAAAGGGACATCAAACAAAGACGTCTTGAAGAGCAAGTAAAACAGCAGGTATTTGGAGATGTCTTCAGTACACCATTGCAGACCCAGAAATCACAACTGCAGAAGACTAAGGTATTTGCAAGTCAAGAAAATAAAAATACCCTGAAGTCTCAGACTCACTTGACATGTCAGCAGAGGCTCGATCAGCCTTCCCGAGGGGAGTCTGCCAGCTCTGACACGAACCTTTATCTCTGCGTAGTTAAGGAAGGAAAGCCAGTACCAGCTGTTTTGGACTCTCCTCCAACCCGTGACACAGGACCAGACTCCAAGCCAAATTTAAATAAAAAAGAACATCAAAATATGCAGGAAGTCCAGCGTCTGCAAAAAGAATTGAGGAGCTATGTCCAGAAAATTGAAGATATTATTAAAAAAGGTGTAAGACTGAACAGTAATTATGTAATATAAATGTACACTAATTTGTTGATATTTTTCCCCCATTTTTTGGTTATATTAGAATTCATATTTATGTCTGAACTTTTGAGAACCATTTTTTTTTTCTTTTTTGAAAAGTAAATAAAATAATAGCTAGCCAGCTTAAGCAGTTGGTTCTTTTGTAATAACTAGCAGGAAGTTTAACCATTTCTAATTTTGACTGCTTTATCTGCAACTTTATCATGAAACTAAGGGGTCATATGATTTTTTAAATAACTAATGAGCTATATTGTATTAGACTCTTTAGTCAAATTCTAAATAGAAACAGGATGTAGAGTTTACAGTAACTAACTTGCATTACTGTTAAAGGAACCCCCACAAATATGTGGTTTGGTTCTCCATGGAAAAGGCTTATTACTAAATTATGTCTGTTGTCATGGCTTAATTGGCATTTTCGCAGGTTAAATTAAGATATAAAACTTTATATTCTGTGCTTTTTAGGGAGAGATAGAGAACTTCTAGATCCTGAAAACGAGCAGCGGCTTTGCGCTAGGAGACGGCAGCAAGCTGCACGGTCAGCTCGGATGCTGTACATGCTCCAGCAACAGGTAGGAACCATGATTTTAAACTGGGATGCATAGGAGTTTAGTTTGTTGTGATGAATTTGTTAGAAACTAACTGAAGCAAGAGAAAGTCAGTTAGGTTATCTCTGAAGTTTCATGACATTCCAGTTTAGATCTGAATGGTGTGACTGATTTCCTCATGGCTGGGCAGACAGGTGAGCATCACTGTTGGAAAATCTCAGATGCTACAGTGAAGATCTGTTGTTCATTTATAGACATGGAACTAATTCTGACTGACTTGCTCCTCTCTGTCTCCTTTCTTGATAAACAGGTAAAAGAAATTCAGAACGATTTAGAGAAACTGAGTCCTCATACAATCAAACACACTAAAAAGGTAAGATGTAATTATCCTTCAGGCTGTGAGTGACTTATTAACAGAGTTTTCTGGATAATTGAATTAGATTGTCTAGGGTGCAGCTAAGCCCTCTCCAGAATGGAGATGTCCTTTGTATCTTACCTATTTAATCTCATTCTCTGAGAAGTATGGCCACTTGGCCTGATACTGCCTTTGCTGCTTCTCCTCAGCCTCATCTGCAGTAGATGAGAGGAAGGTGGTTGGTCTTCTGTGTTTACATGGCTTCTAATTCCTTCTTCACTCCAATTTCTTTTTGCAAGGAAATAACAATGTGTTCTACTCTTGCCTGCTTTTTTTAGACTTCTGATTGATGACACTCAATCTTACCAGCCTTCTTTCTGATTTTCTTCTCTGCCCAGCGCCTTTCAGGGGAGTGGCTGAGATCGTGCTTACAGTCCAGCCAGTGTTGCCCTTTTGATCTCTTGTGCTTCTTTGATCACCTGCATTTTCTTCTGTAACAAAATGAGGATTGAGAATATTCTGTTTGTGCAATTGTTGCACATTAGACTCCAGCCAACTGTAGATGGCTACAGTTCTGTATTGGCACAGGTAGTAGAAAACATCATGACCTGTTATACCCAGGCTGTTTTACCTGAAGCCGTCATGACATTGATAGGAGTACTCTTGTGAGGAATCTTGAGTAAATTACTTCAATGCCTGTTTTGTTTTGTATCACAAATGGATTAATATCAATTAAAATCATTCCAAGCCTGAGTGCTTCTGCATGACATTTCTACAACAATTCTTCCAGTAGTATAAGTATCCATAGAAACTATAGCTATTAAACATTTATTTATTTTTCATTTTTCCAGTCTCGAGCAGTATCCAGGCTGGCAGCAGCACACAGAGGAGCTGTACGAACCTTGCAGGCATTTGCCAATCAGTTTACAGATCAAACAGATGAGCAGATTCCTGCCCATTACAAGGAACTGGGCAGTCTCATTCGTCAACTCTCTCTCTGCTCTGCCAAATTAGAAGGGGATTCTTCCATTTCTGAAGCTATCATAGACATTTTGCTGCAAGTTGAGGTAGGAAAAAACATTTGTTTTTGCTAAGGCAGGAAAGAGGTAGTGAAATATGAGAGTGTGTTAATGAAATGGCAGAATATATTACTGGGTTTGCTTTTATTTTTTATAGGCCATACTTTTTAATGTAAAAATGTACTTCTAAGGTTCCTTAATAATAGTGGTCTAAAAGAGATGTGCATACTAAACACAGAAGCTACCTGCTGCTGGTCTTGTTGATGCTGTTCCTAGCTTTTTGGCTGTCCTGGTAGAATGAGGACTGGTAGTGATAGTCGTAACAAAGCATCAGTTTCTAATTCATTAGTCATTTTCAGGACAGAGATAATTAATTTTATACATAGGTGTGCATTAAGTGTTTTATTACTCTGGATGCGTGCTTCAGTCATCCGCATCAGTGGTGAGCACCTGAGCATCTCGTGCAGTGATGCATGCAGAGTTGTCCAGGCAGAAGATAAAGTTGTGGGTACAAGAGTTACTTGTCTCTGTGTCCTTCAAATATCTTTTTTACTGATATCTGATGACTTATACATGTCATTGGTATAATAGAAAAGTTCTGATTCATGTTGCCTGCTGCACAAATAAAAAAAAAAAAGCAATACTTTCCTTAAAATACTGTTAAAACTGTAAGAACTATGTTTTTAATTTTAGTGTTATGACCTGCTTATGAGAACAGTAAGAGTACTAACTGCCTGGGAACAGAAAAGGAGGTAGTTAAGTTTGGACATAACATTGGAAGAAGTGTTTGTGTTACCATAGTCATGTGACTGAAGTTTTTGTTGGTCTGTAGCCCTTGTGTTCAATTCTTTTTGAGTATTCTGTAAGCAAATGGTTTGCTGGAGTCAGTTGTAAATACAAAAAGTGTAAACCTTTTCAGCAAGATTAAAGTTAATAATGTGAAAAAGCTTCTACATGAACAAGCTATCAGTCTGAAAAAAACTGAAAGTTATCATCTGAAAAAAAAAAAAAACAAAACAAAACCAAACCAAGAAAGCTCCAACTGCTTAGAATGTCTTGAATTTGCTTTTCATTGCATCAGATTTACTGAGAGAATAATTAAAACTCTAATATTTGGTGCAGGATCTGAATTCACTGTTGGAAAACAAGCAAACACCAAAAACAGTGAAGAAATGCATTTCAGCTTCTCAGGCCAAATCTCCAAGGAACACTGAGCCATTTCCAGAGAGAAAGCACTTTCTATCTCCAAAAGGAGAAAACAAACCTCTCACCTTAAAGGGACAGCATGGACAAGAGTCTAAAAAACCTCTATCTGCCAGGAGTCTTTTGACTGGTTTGTATTTTGAATAATTAAATACATTTTTATCACTTAACTTGCCATCTGCAGTTCCATTTTTTATTATGGTATTGCTAATCAGGAGTTGGTTAAATGTTAGCAAATCAATCTAACAAAAACCAGGCTTTGGTTGTTTAACTGTTCATACTGAAAAATTATTCTGAGTCTTTGGCTCAGAATTCCCTTGGTTGGTATGATTTCTCTACTTCTGGGAGCAGTAGCTGTTTTATCCTGGCTAGTTCATTACTGTTAATATCTTTTGCACAACAGTCACACTTTTTACCTAGAGACAGGTGAACTGGTGGTTAAGCTGAAGACTTGGGGGTTTTCACCACTACCTTGCAGTGCAACTGTTTGGAATTGGCTTTCTATATTGTTCTTTTGCTTTGGATATGAAAGGAAAGGAGCTTTATTCTTTCTCAAGGTGTTGTGAGATATAAATATAACTATACCTGAAGTGTTTTGGAACCTCATGAAAGCCACTGTAAGTTCTTACATTATTATATAAACTATATTAACTGTTTTTCTTTTTTTGTGGTGACTTTCTCTCTCAGGCCGGTTTGTACTATAATAATAAGTATTCTCTACTACCCCCAGGTAGCAAGAATTCCATGTGCTGAATTCTGGCAGTCCAGGGAGACAGTATATAAACATCTAATGGTTTCCATGTGTCTTGCTGCCTAATAGAGGGTGGTTTTTTATCACTGCCTAGACCTCATATAGCAATTACTCCCAAAAGGCTTTCCCATGACTTGCATATATATGTATATTTTCAAATATCTCTGTACATATAAATATGTATATACACACAAACACCAACCTTCCTGTTCATCAAAACAATGTAAGAAACTTGTCAGGAAATACAAGGCTAAAATTTTTAATTTTGTCTTTTATTTTTTTTTTTAATTATGGTAGAGCTTAGAAGTTCATGATAACAGAGGTATCAAATGTAGAAAAAAAGACAATTCTTGCCCCTTTCAGCTTATAGTTAACAGTTCATATGTTATTTTTAGTATAGATAAACACTGACATGTTGCAAATATTTCAGCAGTTCAACAGGCAAACAGTTGTGCTCATATATTACACAATAAATACCAAGAAGAAAGTGGCCCACCTACTTCAGAGAGAAATGCTACTTTGCAAGGAAGCACAGATGTACTGGTGAGAACTAGAGCTGTAAAAAAAGAGTCTGTCCTTGAAAGTGGTGCTTTGAAGAAGAAAGTTGTGTTACTGGCTTCAAAACCACAGGTATGGAAGTGATAAATAATTTATGCTGTCTTCTACCTGTTTTCTGGGATTTGTTATATAGTATAGGACACTGTCAAAGCTTCACACTTCTTCACAATATTGCTTTTCTGAGCTAAGAGACATAGAGGGATAAACTGTGTCATCTGCCTGATATTTCTAGTGGTTATGGCTATTTTAGCAAACGTTTTTCAAAAACAGTGTTCACTGTTCCTTGGAAATACACTCTACAACTGGAAACAACAGAATTGGTAAGGGAAATGCTCACTGAATCTAGTTTCATCTTTGAAATTAAGGTGTTTTTTTAAATTTGAAATTAAAGCTGTGGTATCTTCCTCCTATGGTCATCCTCTATCACAAAAAATGCACTCAGCAGTAATGTGCTAATATTAGTAGGAGTATATAAGTTACTCAGGCTTACTTAATTGATAACAGAAATTATAAAATTTTTCTATACATGTTCTAGTTTCTGCTAAGTCCTTGCAACCAGAAAGAAGCTCCATAGTGGAAAGAAAACAGTTCTTAAAAGACTTGGGCTATATTTTGCTAAGGAATGTATTTTTCTTTTATTTATTCCTCAGAGTATCACTTTTAACTAGGAAAATCAAATCTGAAACAGTAACATAGATATATGCTTATGTAACTTTTACTGCTTCCTATCCCTGTGGATCAGTGAGGATCATGGGCAGGAAGGCTAAGCATTGCAATAATTCATGTAGAGGGGATGAGCCTAAGTGACTTTGTAACAGATATGAATATGGGAATATTATAGTTTTCTAGCTGAATACAATGTTACCTTGGAAATCTTATATTTGGATTTATAAATAATTAACATAGAGTCTAATTCTGAAAAATTAAAAGTAAGTTTTTCCCTATGAAGAGAAATACTGGAAAAGTTGGAATTGTTTGCAAAAATAATAGTTGTAGGATTAAGCATATGTTCTGTTCAGGCACAGCTATACTTCCCTTTAAAGCACTTGTAAATCCTTCACGTACATCAACTGCAGCAAAGCCAGCTGGCAAGATTTCAAGATAAAGTCTGAAACAGAATGCCAAATACTTAAAAAATTCAGCAACTGGAATATGTGTTTGTAATGTAATCATGTTAATTTTAAGGGAATGCTGAAATCTTTAAAATCAAGACGGGCACACCCTCCAGGAAAGCATGCTCGATTTCAAGAGCCAACTATAGCTTTCCAACTAAAAGAGAACAAACGACCTGCTAAGGAGAGCAAAATGTCTCGCCTGCCTTCAAAGCCTCCACCTCGGTCTGTTTCACCTAAGCGGTATGTTTGCAGTTTCTGGCACCCACCTTTTCCCCGCTTCCGTGGAAATGCTTCTGGATCTGTGCTAGTGACTAGGATAGAGTTGGCCAGGCTTCAGTCCAGTGGCACAGCACAGCTTGCTGTCACATAGCTCCTCTCCTTTCCCACTTGGCCCAAAGTAGTTTCATTTCCTAAAGCCTAAGAAGAGCCAGGGCTTTAGTCTTTTGTCTGAATTGCTGCCTGGGAGTCAAGGGCAAATTGTGCAAGGCGGGACAGTGACAAAACACAGGAGGAGGAGTGGGTATTCCCATCACTGCATTGAGAAGGTAAATATTGTCTCCCTGTTTCAGAAGGACAAGATACATATATTTGTCCCAGGCAATAATAAAGTGCAGATTTGTGTACTCTAAACTCTATTCAACATACTGTTAGACAGGGGTCTTCAAATTTATATTGGTTTGGGGCTGGTGTTTGTGGCATTTGAAGCAGGAGATCCAGGTTCTGGATCCGTACTAGGTAGTGTGCATGGTAAGATGAGGAGCTCATTTCTCTGGACAGTATTTGTGGATAAGCATCTAGTTCCTGTTTGCCAACAGCAGAAACATGATTCAAGATCCCTCATTCTCAACAGAATTTTCTGGATTATATGGTTTTAAAGTCTATTAATTTTCTCTCCAAAATTTCTTGTAACTCTTCCAAATTAATACTGGAAATCACACTATTTAATTCTTCAGTTGTTAGAATGTACATTTTGTAACTCCTTATGCTACTGTGCTATTTTTGAAGACTAGCAAGGCTTGAAGCAAAAAATTCAAGAGGAGTGAAGGTTCTAACTGACCTTTGCATGGGAGAAATGGAAAAAATACAGAAGTTAAGGTAATGACTTTCTTTGAAAAATCTCATAAAAGGTGTCAGGTCTGATATGAGCTTCTCCCCACTCCCAACAGTGGGAGTAAATATAAAAATACATTTATGTAGTTTGGTGGTTTAAATTATCGTTGGCATACGAGGTTTGAGAATGGCATTGTCATTTGTTCTTTATGCAGGTCACAAACTGTTTCTCCAGCCCAGTATACAGACAAAGCTGAGAAGGAGATACGGGAGTGGTCAGAGCCTCCGTTAGACAGGACACAGGTAGTACAGGCAAGCTCATGCCACTGGGTGAATGATGCCTTGAGAACTGTCAAACATTTGTTAAGGGGCAACAAACAGTTTACTTTCAATTTAATGCAAGACACTTTTGTTTTGGTTTGGGTTTTTTTCTTTCTTTCTTGTATTGAGTTTAGGTATTTTTGTTTTCCATAGCATTTGTTTTTGGGATTTGTTTTTTTAAGTAGCAGGTTGCAACAAATGCAGATATTCTGAGTGAAAAGCTATTGGATGATCTTTTGGAAGATACTGCTCAGGAACTGTGGAGCATGGATCAGCATGAGAGACTCCAGGCTGAGGCCCTACCTGTGGCTGACACTCGTAGCCTGGAGTCAATGTTGCAAAGAATGGAAGAAATTGAAGTAAGATTTTCTGTCTTGGTTAGTCTCATTCGTGTGAATTTGTTATTTACTGTCCATAAATTATAATATCTGTAAGTATCTACATTCTAAAATGAAGCAAGGTATGACTGGATCGGTGTCTGAGATCAAAGACCTGGATGGAGTTTGTGCTTCCAGAAGACATAGCGTAAAAACAGAAGCAGAGTGTTTGATTAATCTGTTGCTGTAAAGTTGGCAGACCTGAGTTTGCATTCTATCTCAAGACTTTGTGGCTTAAATCTTTGTGCGTGAACGGGAGAATCAGTATGGTGATTATGTTGATATTCTAGCGGAATGGAAAGTATTTTAATATTTATTTGAATTTTTCTCTTTTGTGTGCTATAGAATCTCATTATTCTAGTAGCATGACCATCTTGAGGAAATATGCTCTGGCAATCCAAAGTATTTCACAGGGCAATATGGAGAAATCAGACAAATACATAGTTAACTGTGCTTTTTATTCGTCTTTCTATATAAATATTCTTAGGGTTATCATTTACTTGACTTGAGCTTTCTCATATATTGCTTTCTTTAAAAGTTTTCTTCAATCTGTTTTTCATAGTTTTGAGTTCCTTTTTGACCCTCCTGTTCTCTGAAATGTATTGTGACTTAGAACTACTCAGTTTAGTGCCATTTACTCCTAGACATCTGTTCATCAGTTAGAAGTGTGAAGTTGCAGTGTCCTTGTCCCTGAGGCACTGGAGCACACATTTGGATTCACTGTTGGTGAGGCAGGAGCAGCTTGAGGGCCCTTCAGTTGTTTGGGTGAGGGCTGTTGGTCTGAAATGGGAGGAGTTCCCATGGGACTAGAAATTAGTTTTGTATTTGAGAATGACATTTTGAACAAGAGAAATGTCTGTGTCAATCCACTCTCTCTTTTCTATGTTGTGTTACTGGCCAAAATAAGCTTGTTTTGCCCAAGGAGGATCATGACTTGCTTTGCTGTTAGTGATAATCAGTACAGCTGAGCTGCCAGGTACATGGTTGGCTGACTGACATGTGTGTTCTACCACAGAGGTACCAGGAGGCTGTCCGCAGGAGAGTCACCCAGATAGTCTACAGTGACTCCCAGTTCTGGGCCCAGGAAGACAAAATGGGTAGTTGTCTTTTTTAATACAACTTGTTTTCCCTGTAATCTGTAGGTTTAAATTCAGGTGTTTTGACAAAGTAATTGGATTATGTGTGATCAAGTAGTGCCACTAGGACACATTTTTTACCATAGGTGCTTCTTTCGGAGGACAGTTTCTAAAATGTAGTTCTAAAATCAGTACTTTATCAGCACTCCTTTTCTTTATCCCGTGGTTTGATTGAGTAGCACAATGAAGCTACATTGATTTTCGACTGGATCACATACAACTTCACTGAAACTGTATTGTTTAACACAAGTTGGAAAATTTCCCAGTAAGACTGGTGAAGATTTACCCTAAATCTTTATAGATTCTTTTTCCATGTCTTGGATTTACCACTGAATTTGATAGACTGTGCTATTTTTACAGTGGTATTTTCTGTATCTCTGCTAGAAGTACTCACTGGCAGCACAAATGATTTATACTAAAGGTAGTATTTCTAAAATGCTCAGCTTTAATACACTGAGCTGTATTTATGTTTTTTCTCATTTTGAATACTTACCTAGAGGACTTTGCCTTAAAAGAAACAAAAGTCTTTGTGAGGACTTAACCTGCAGTAGATGTAGTTTGTCTCTTTCAAAAAAACAATTTAAAATAGTATTTTCTTCCTTCGAGAACTACAAACGGCATCAACAGCTAAAAAACCTACATCTCCTCATCCAGTTCAGATAACCAAATTAATCAGACACGGAGAGCTGGAAACAGACATTTTATTTGAGAAACCTTTTGACAGCACGTAAGTGGAATACTTGGCCCTACACTAAACTTACACTAAACGTAAGATCTATGTGACTTAATTATAGTGTTTTCGTTACACTGACTCTTCAAAAAGAGACTTAAAAATTTAGTTCTGTCTTGATGATTATTTTATATTTCCAGTGATATTGATGAAAATAAAGAAGCAGAGGAGAAATTGCAGACTGGAAATGACATTCTGCAGCCCTTGCCTCTGAATTCTCTACAGAAAGCATATTCTGTGTCTCTCTCTGTGCCAAGCAATGTGCTCCAGAGCATCTTGGATTATAACAGCAGATACAAGCATCATTTAAAGCTTATTTCCCATGAGGTAGTGGGCAGTTTCAATCCATGGCAGATTGCTGAGAGGTATATGAACTATCTTTGTGGTTTGGAAGTGAAAGACTGGAATTTGAAAGCTGACTTTCTGAACATTCTCCTTCTCCTTTTTTTGCCCTCTCTCTCCCTTAGTCTTGCAGAGCAACTGACAGAAGAAGCCCTGTGTGACGTGGCAGCAGAGCTGCAGGATGTTTGTGAGGACTATGCAGAAGCTGTATTCACGTCAGAGTTTTTGCAGCCGGTGCAGTGAATTCTTTCCCACCTGTCCCATCAACATCAGCCTCAGCTTGACAGATTTTCTGCACTGGATCTCCATCAAAGATTCATCTTAGGTTTTTATAGAGCCATTATAATAATGTTTTCCTTTTCAGAAAGGACTTCCTTACTTTTCCTTTTGTTGGCTAATCACCTTAGCACATGCTAGACTGGAGTGAGTTCTTTTGGATATGTAGCAATCCAGTGAAGGATTCTCATGGCACAGCAGAAATATGCAAACACTTGTCACTGGCTGTACTTGCAGGCTTGCTTGGGCTCTTGCCATTGGCTTTAGAATGGAGTTCTGAGTACCTCTAGTACATAATGCACAGGCGAAAGGAGACCTTCCAATAGAAGCACATGATAGGGATCTTACTTTCTTTTTCTTAAACTAGTATAAAATGTTACATTTTTATCAGCATTTAGTGAGTGATTCAGCCTCACATTCCTTTCTCTTAAGAATCCCGTTGAAATCAAGAACAATAAAATAAATGAGCAATTTGCATTTCTGCAACATTAAATTAACTTGTTTCAAGTAATCAAGGTACTAGTTTGGATTATGTCTGGAGTCAGAGCAATGACTAATAATTACCTACGTAGTATACTAAGGAAATGCAAATTCAGCCCTTGAGGTAACACAAAGAACATATGACAGTCTGTTTCCTTTTTCAATTTCTTTCTTCGATATAGTTCAATCTGTAACACATTCATTTTTAACCTTCTAAGATTATTTTTACTTCTCCAATTAGAACATACATTTTAAAAATAATTTTGTTGCTATTGAAGCCTGGTTTACTACTTCAATCATCTTCAAATTTACATCAAATATAATGATGTAAATGTTGCTGCTGAAGTGGGACTTCACTGATATGTGATTTCTGTAATTTAAACCAGCTGATTTCTAAAATTAAAAGTCAAAAATATTAAAGCAATAGTGTCTCTATATGTACATATGTGTGTGAAAGTGTTTTGAAGATGTTTTATTTTTTAATAAACAACACTTGTTTATTATCACTGAACAGAGTTTTAATTTAACTTCTCTCTGAATTCATTGGAATAGCACAGCATATTGTATGATTCTATATATCCATGGTCTTTCTCTAGGATTGCTTTCTTTGATGGCTTAGTGACACTGTAGCACCTTTGGGAAAGCAATCCTTGTCAAATCTTCTAAACAGGACTTGTGTCCAGCAGCAGAGGCAATGTGGCTCAAGGGCAAACTACAGCATGTACTAGCACTGTCACCCATAGCTGGGGGAAGGTGAACCATAGTTTACTTGCAGCTGGCTCTGGAGGTGGGAACTGCTGGGTCTTCTGGCTGTTCCACTTAAGGCTCAAGCAAAACCACTTAGCTTGCCATGTTCTCAGGGGTATTTGCTGTGGCTCTTGAATGAACTGCTAAGCAATGCCCCTAGCAAATCATGTAATTATACCTACCAAGTTGGTGTGGGCACAGAGCCTGTAAGTTGCTTTAGGACTTGGTTACATTATGTTTGCTTCGTAGAAAAATTGTAGGATTTTGGGGGCAAAACTTTTGTTAACTGCCCTTTATTTAGTGGTGTTCTGACACAGGTAGTAATGTACAATCCCTCCTAAGCTCTCTTCCAGCCTCCTCCCATCGATTCTACAAGAAGTGCTGTGACTTATCACGTTCCTTAAGATTAATTTCTCCCGGTTATTGGGGGTTCTGGAGAAGTTCGTTTCTCAACTTTTAGAGACATGCTGCTAGTGAGGCTCTTGAAGAGGGACGAACCCTGTAAGTTCCGTAATTCAGCTTTCAGCAGACTTTAAGCCACTTGCCTATGGCTGACTTAAAAGGCAGTTTTGCAGTTGTTCAGCCACTGCATTGACACGGGGCTTGGCAACACCCGGAGGAATTTTTCTGTCAAAATCCAGAGCAGCCGCTCGCAGGAGCGGCTTGGCAGGGGCAGTGCCGCAGCAGCAGGGGCCGGTGTAGGGACAGTGCCCCGCGGCCCCCGGATAGGAGCCGGGCACGGTGCGGGCCTCATCCCCTCCTGCTCTGCGTGCTCGCAGTTCCGAGGGGCGCCCGGACGGCGAGGGAGCCGCGACCCCTCCCGGGAGGCGTGTCGTGGGGACTGCGGGCCAGGCGAGCTCCAGGCGGAGGATCCTTGCCGGCAGCGGCGGGGCGAGACCTGCCGCCAGGTCCCTGCCGGAGGCGGGGGGCCGCTGGCACCTCGGGGCCGCTCTCTCCAGGCCGTTTATGCGCAGCCACGTCCCCGAGCTGGCCCGGCCCGGCTCGGCCCCCGCTCTCCGCGGAGCCGCTCACTGCGCCTTTAGCGACGGCGGCTGCGCCTTCAGCGGCGGGCGGGCGGCACCGGGCGGCGGCGGCGGCGGCGTCTCCCGGCCGCGTCTCTCAGCGCCGCGGGCAAGGGGGCGGCGCGGGGCCTCTGCCGAAAGCCGATGGGGCGCCGGAGAGCAGGGTGCCGGAGCGCCCAGCGGGCGAGCACCTGACCCGGCTGAGGACGGCTTGGCTGCGAGCGGGCAGCCCTGAAATGGCGAAAGCACCGCTCCCAGGTAAGCGCTGAGCCTGCGCGGCGCAATGGGGCAGTCTCGAGGGGAGAGCGAGGCCCCCGGGGCGGGATGGGGCGGCCCCGTGGGGAGCGCGGGCCCCGGGGCGCGGCGGGGACGAAGCTCCGGCGCGTTCCCCGCCCACCCGCGGCTCCGTGGCTGCCCCGAATCTGCGTCCTTCGCCGTCGGCCCCGCGGAGCGCTGAACGCGAACTCGTGTGAACGAGGCGCGGGTGCATTTGACCTCGTCGTCGTTACCGACCACGGCCCGCTCTGCCCTCGGCGCCCGTATCTGCCGGTGCCGTGATCAAAGCACGGCCGTGCGGGTCTGCGGGGGCATCGCAGGCGCCCGCGCCCATCGCCGCTGCCCGGCCTCCTCCCCGCGCTCCTGCAGTGCTGCTCCGAGAAGGTCTCTCCCAGCGCCGGGGAACTCCGTGGCTGCCGCCTGGTCGGGCCGGTGCTCGCTGCCGCCCACTCGGGAGGAGCAGACCGGGAGGCAGCAGCCGTGGTTAGAGAACAATACAGGTGTGCAGTTGGGTAGAATTTGACGAACGCCTGCGGTGCGCCTTGCCCATTCATGTAACTCGTGCTTCTTCTGGAGCCTGGGCAGTGTGGGGAGGTTGGAGCTTTGTTGGCTGGGGCTGACACCAGGGCTTGAGGATGCTCAGCAGCAGCAGCAGCAGCACCCTGATGTCCCGTGCCCGGTAGCAGATGCAGTCGAAGGAGGTAGCACGTGTTCTGTGTGCACGAAGACAGAACAGATGGGAGTGCAGTTGCTGATGCAGAGGTGGTTTTCTTCTAGGTTGCACGCAGAACCGATTGCTGTTGCAGGTGAAGGCTTAACTGCTATGACTGAATGGTCATTGTGTGACACTTCTGGTGTTTGGTGCCAGGTCTGGACACAGCTTTACAGCAGCATGGCAGTATTAAAGCTAAACCCAAAAGGGTGTTTTTTCCAGCATTGTTCATTTTTTTACTCCCCCAAAATAAACATGGATTGGTGGCAGCTCAGAGATGTAACACTCAGGAGCATGAGAGCATTAATAATTTCAGAGGATGCAAATATAGGATTGAAGTGTTTCTTTTCCATCTTTGGAAGATGAAGAAATAATCAAATGGGTTAAAAGTCTCATGGCTTTTTTTTTTTTTTTTTTTTGTCATTAGCTTGCAGTTCTTTTAAGTTTGATAGGAAAATAAGAGGGCATTGCTTTTGCTTTCTGTGATACATGAATAATGCAGCCTGTATACATACTTTGCATGTTTAAGTACAATTTTGCACAGGAATTTTAAAGCATACTACTTGTCTTGGATGTGATTTCACTGAAAAAGTATGGATTTTGAAAGAAGCTTTGTGATGTCAATACTTACTGCAAAGAAAAGTAAGAAACCATTCACAAAAAAGGTCTGGAAGAAATGATGTGGTCTAGGCGTAGGGAAAATGTGCTGCTTTTATAAATTGAGCTTACTGAGTGTATCAATGTGATACAAATATTAAAAAGTTGTTTTGCTTGTATGTATCCTATCTGGCAGCTGCTGCCAGTGCTGTAGCCTTACCTCAAATAGAAAGGAAGACCAAAATTGTAGTGAAAATGTGCCGTTTGCTCACTGTTGAATGGCAGGTGTGCTTGTAAAGAGTTCTTAGACATGGTCCACACTTGACTCATTTGAGTAGCCACATCTAACCTAGTGAACTCCAGACCCTAAGCACTTGAAGTAGTCCCTGTGCAGAAATGCTTGGGCATTTGCAAGTGTTGATTGTAAAGCCACATAAAGACAATTGCAGATCACCACCTGGCATGTCCCTGTGGCAGTGGTAGGGTATCTGCTTTTCAGCTCTGACTTCATTTTTGACAGAGCGCAGTGACTCAAAAATGCCAGAGCTTCCTCAGAAAGCCAGAATCTCTGCACTATGAAAAGAGACTTTCAGATGTGTTGCAGGCAGTCCACCTACAGTCATTGCAGGAAAATATTGGAGAATGTTCATATCTTCTCTGGCTTTGGGGAGTCATTTTGGAGGAGGTGATGACACTGCTGAGAGGGAGGGTGAGGTTAATTTCGGCTGTGGGGAAGCTGGCATCTGAAGCATCAAAAAACAGCTCTGGGAGATGTATGATGTTTACAGAAAAGTTTGATCCAGGATTTGAAGTCTGAACAGTCATGTTAAACCTCTTTTCTCTCTTCCTCCACCTCACTAGTAATCCTGTAAAGTGCAGGACTGCAAATGTTACTGGTACCTTAAAATAGGGGCTTTAAGGCCTGCATGGCTTAGTTTCTTGATTTGTTTCCTGTACTCAATATTCAGATACATGCCCATCCTTACCATCTGCTGCAGAACTGCCAGTTGAGGGATATACAGAGTAGACAACCAGGGATTTATTGCTGTGAAATTGCTGTGACATGAAAGACACTGAATGAGGAATGGGAGAGAGGAGCTGGTTGTGTTGGCCACTTTTGACCACAGTGGCCATCAGTTAGGTCTTTCACTTCTTGACAAGAGAACCTGCAATTTGTATGGACTTTTTTCTGTCTGTAACTATGTCTGGCTTTGTCAGCTGTGTATTTTGACAAGGGAGCTTGAAATCTTGACTTGATCTTCCACTTTTTTCTTCCCCATCCCCTTTTGCATTTTATGTTCTCTCTACCCTCCCTCTTACCTCCCACTGTTATTTTTCTTCCTCTCCTCCTTTAGCTTCACAGTTTTATAGGCCTCCCACTCTATGCCCCTCCTCAGCCCCTTCTGCTAAGCGTGTTCCATTTCAGCTTCAGCCGATTTCATTTCAGTTCCAGTCTCTGATGCAGATTCATTCTGTGATTTTGGATGAGTTCTATGTGGCCCTGCTATCAGTGATGTCATATATGGTCCATCTTTTTTGGTGGTCATTGTGCAGGCAAGGACTTCGTTTGATCAGCATCTCCTTCTGTCTTGTATGAGCTCGTGAGTCTTAGGAGTGCCTCCAGCAGTTAAATTCACATACTTGTAACGTTCATCTTCAGTTTTACATTTTCTAATTAAAAATAAAACATAATTAGGATATAATAGTGGGTGAAGTTGGCCTTCAGTAAGTCTTAACTTCATAGTCACTAGGTAACACTGTGTGGGTAGCTCAGTTAAATCACTTAATGGGTAGGCAAGAACCATCTGAAACCAGCAAAACAGAAGGAAATATTATTATGCAACAACAGTCAGTAGCAATAGGTCATTCCTCCTACCCAGCATTTTTATCCAAATGGAAAAATGACTTGTGCTTTTAAATTTTATTAAGACAACTGCCCCTGAATTCAAAATGGTGTGCTTCTAAAACAAGTTTTGACAGGTGGAAATTTTTTAATCTGTGTAAATAGAGTCTATTTATTATTTTTTTTAAATTGAGATTAATTCAGTCCTCAATATTTGACTGTGTAAAAGACTGAGTTTCCAGTAGTTATAAGAACACTGTGTGCTGTTTCAGCTCTACCTAGGTGTGGTGATAGTATTTAGGAGTGCTTTCTTTATGATTGCCTGTCTTCTGGCATGTGCTTATGTCTGGGCTTGATTGGAAATTGGAAAATGTTACCAAGCAAAAGATGTAGAAAAAGGCTGGGCCTGCTGCAAAGCATGAAATCTCTGATAATATGACAGTAAGGTAAATAATATTGAAATCATTTTATGGTAAAGCCCAGTGCTGTAATTGCATCCAATGAAAACTGCTGCTCTTACCCCAAGCTGCTTGAATGCATTTTCCTGGCAAGTCTGGTGTGAGCACACCTGAGCTAGAATGGCCTCTGGAACCAACCTGTGATGCTACCAGTACACAAGGGGCTGTTTTGGCTGGCATTTGGGTTATCCTGCTTACTTTCTGTCTGTCCTGCTTGCCTGACAAGGTATGCAGTGATACATGCATTGGTAAGGAGAAGACGGAGATGCTGGAGTGACTCTTAAACTGATGCTTCTGGACTGAGCCTACTGTGCTGCTACTCTGCCCTCACAAGTATGTTTCAGGAATGAAATGATACTCTTTAATTCCCAGAGAGTATGTGCTGGTACTGCCCATAAAGTGCTTTTGTAAACAGTGATGTGATGACTCCAGTAATGGGTTTGTTTTGTTGTTTTTTTTTTATAGTTGCAGTAAGTGTTTTTAAAAGCTATTTCAAATTGATGAGAAGGCAGAACTAGTGAAGAAAGGTAACATGGCTGTGGTTTCACAGCAGGGCTAGGCTTATTTCCTGCTGCATTTGAAAATTAATTTTCTTTTCATTAGATCCAGTAGCAGATTCAATCCTGTGCCTTAGTAAGGTATGCTTAGAGGACATCATCTTCACAGGAAAATGTTCCTTTCTTTTTCCAGAAGATATTCTTGTGCTCTCACACCTTTCACCTCTAGGTGTATGCCACCTAAGGACCTGGGGCCTGTAGTGTATGGTTTTGCTTTGTGCTGTCAGAATTGATGCCAGTTACTGGAGTGGAAAAGTGAAGTAGGTACCTTTTCTTTCTCCAGAATTGGTGTGCATTTTGAATACAATCTTTGTTTAATAGGTAATATTGAAGCAGTATTTTTGGTACTGGTAGCAGAACATGTGCATACTGTTGAGTGACAATGGTGAGCTGTTCTGTCTTAGGATGCTTGGAACTTCTATGATGAATGTGTTTTAGACACAAGGCCTTCCAAAGGATATAAGAAAGTGACTGAAGTTGGGAATCAACAGCATTAGCTATTCTGTTTTCAGAGGAAAACCTTTGCTTCTTAAACTTTTTCAGAGCCTCTTCAGCCTTACTTCACTTCTTACCTGTTTTTCTGTTTCCATTTCCTTAGTCCTGAGAATGTTGGCTAATGACCAGTAGGGTCATTTTTAATTCTTCTTGTGTTTTTCTTTCTTTTTTTTTTTTTCCTCTCTCTTTTAGAATCACCCTCATATCACATGTAATGAAGTGTGCTCATGCACTGCTTAATTGTCATACCATTGCCAGCTTGTAAAAAAAGGACATCTTTGGAAAGAATTTGGGTTTATGCCTCCTGACCAGAGGAAGCTAGAGCTGATTCTTCTCTTCTATATACTTTTCAACTGCTGTTGATTTTTTATGGAACTATGGTAGAATTAACCTGCTGGTGTTTGTGGGTGAAAGTAGAATTGGCATTTTCCATGACTGTTCCGCTCTTTAGGTCTATTTGTGGAACATATCAGAGATTGCATCATTTTAGTGGGTTGTTCCTTCTCTGGATTGACAGCATTAGAAGCTGCTGGTATGTGAGTGGGAACTGTTTCTTCTGCTGTTTGCTGGAATTATGTACACTCACTAAACACCAAGGATTAAATTTGCCTTGCATTTGAATTAGGATGACGTGTACAGAGGTGCAGTCTGACTTGCCTTCAACCGAAGTGCGAGTGTTGCATAAGAGAGCATGGAACTATTTCTGTAGCAATTTTTAGTCAAATAAGATCCTCGCTATTTTGCTGCTTATCACAAGATGTTGCAGCTGATTGTGATCTGTGGCTCTTCCCTTTATGGAAGCTGTTATGCAGGATATAGATTTCAGTTGTGATCCTTATATATACATAGCAGGGATAAGGAAATCAATATCTAACATGCAGCACAGCACCTCCATCAGTCACCAGATCACTGATGAAGCAAAGTACCAGTGAAATTCCAGCTGTTCTTTGTTGAAGGGAAAAAAAAGCTTTTTTTTTTACTGAGGAAAATCCCTGATTGTAATCTTAATTACAATTACTTACAGTTAGCACTAGCCTAATTAGAACATTGAGCTTCTGTCCATAGTGCTGCAACGATGGGGCAAAAGGGCTCTGCTCTTTTCTTCTCCCTGGCTTTTACTGTGGCTCTGTGCTCAGGGCAAGCCCATGCCAGCTCTGTCTGTGACAGGTGACTGTCACAGAACTTGGCAGTTCTGTGCAGAGAGAACAGGTTAGATAGGAATCTTTACCTCTGCTTCTTCTAGAAGAAAAGCACCTGTGCATTTCTCTGGGCTCTCCTTCCACCTCTGGGAAATGTTACTCTTATATCCTACTATCCCTGTTGTTGTGCTGCCCTGACAGCTTGTGGGGAACTAGTGTGTGTGCTTCCAGTTCAACTATTGTGACTTGCAAATTGATCATGTAGTGCTCAAGGCATTTCTACATGCTTTCCCCTTCTTTGATCAGAAATTGTGATACTGAACAACTGAAATGAGATGAAAGTTGCTACCCAGCTGCAAAAATTTCTGAAATATGACTGCTAAGAGTCAGCTGACTGATCTGATAAAGGGTAGGTTCACTGCCGTAGAAGCATAAAGTGTCATTACTGAGGAGCTCACCTGTGTTCTGAAGTAGGGCTGGTCTTTTAATTCTCTGAAACAAAATTATAAAGTAAGATATGCAGCAGTTGACAGTGTAAATCAAATCAGTGAGTCCAGGCAATGCCTGTGTCTAATAAAATCAAGAAATGTTAATAGAGTCATCTGGAGGTGCCTAATGCTAATCTGCTGGCACAGAAGGAAGCAGACTCAAAAGAACCAATGTATTAGAGCAATGCAATGGAGTCCAGCCAGTGAATCAGTCTAGATGTGGAGAGCTGTTGCAGTGAGCTTTACGCATATTTATGCTGCTGACTGTGGTTAGGTTTAAGCTGCTTCTAAATCTAGAATTATTCACAGTGCAATATAATAAAACTTATGCTCCCAAGATCTTTTCTCATAGCCAGAATTTATGCCTGGATATTTGTGACAGTTTTCCCTGCCCTCTCTTCACATTCTACATCAAACAGCAAGGTCCCTGGACCCATGGGCTTTTTTTGTGGTCTGAGTACTATTATTAATTTTCAGCCATGCTAGTGGCAGTTCTTCTCCAGGGAATTGCTATTTGCTTGGGAGTACATTTGAAATTTTTACAATTTTTAATTTTTGTAGCCTCCTCCCTCCTTTCGTTCTTTGTTCCACTCTATCCCCCTCTCTCGCTCCCTCCCTCCTTCTGTCCAACCCTCCATTCATCACTGTTTTTTTTGTGGTGCCTCCCACCTTGTGCTTTTGGAATTTTAGAATGCCTGCTCTTCCAAGCATTGACCCAATGCAGACTTTTTTCATTTGAAGTTCAGAGTAGAGTTCTTTCTACCACTGCTTTGATGACTGTAGTGATGCATTTTAGGATAGATATGTATCTGAATGGAGGGGCTCCAGTAGCTGCCAGATATCACTGGACACATTCCCAATACATGCTATACTCTTGTAATGAATACTGACTCCTTAATAACAATTTTTAAAAAGCATATTTAAATGCTATTAATTGACTATTATTTTTATTTACTTCTTAATAACCAATTTTTAACCTTTTTAAAATGCTATTAATTGATTATTGTTTTTATTCATGTCTTGGCCAGCTAAAATATGCTGCTTCTTACCACTCTTCACTTATATTTCTGATTAGTTCAGCTGTAGGTGGAGTAAATGAAGAACAAAAGGCTGTGACCTAGTGGCATGTTTTCTCAAGAATAATACAGAAGGATGCCTCCTCTGTTTGAGTTGCTCTTTTACTACTGAGAGAAGAAGAATGCTTTTGTGGCCAGGGGCTCAGGATATTAGAATCAGGTTTGATGTCATCATTTGTGGAAATGAATAAAATGAAGGACACTATTCTGGTGGGTGATGAGTGTCCTTTCTACGATCGTGTTGTTAGGGGTATGGTTGATTTGATCCCTGGTTCTCCACTGATTGTGGGGAGACTTTGTTGTTAATATAAGGAATATATTTCACTAATTCTTTCTGGTTTGGGTTGCTTAGATGTAAGGAGAATTCAGATATTTAGGCAAGTCTGGTTTACTAACTGCAAATTAGTTTGATAATCCATTAGGACCATCTAAGCTGTCATGACTATATCTGTTACTGTACCTATTCTAATGTGGTTTTCCCTTCCTGTCTTCAAATGGCAAGCTTCAAGTGAAAGCCCCAGGCCCCAGCACAGCAGAGGTCTCTGATGGAACCAGTTCAGTGAGTGAGAATTAAGTAGCTCGTCTGCAAATCTGTGTGCCAAATAAGATGGCACTTATTTTAGGAGTTAAATTGACTTTAAGTGGGAGCTGCTGTTGTGTCCTGGGGAAAAGCTGCTTTGTGTCTTAGAAACAACGTGCAATTCAAGTGTTGGAACGGAACAGTCAGATGAATTCAACAGGAAAGAGTTTATCTTTTGAAGTCACTGCATTAGCTGAATGCAGGCTTATCTTTGACACAAACTTGTTTTTATCACTTTGGTAAGTGGAAGTATTTTTTTGCCATCCTGAGAGCTCTGGCTGGCTGATAGTTGAGATTAAAGTGTGCATGATGACCATCCTCCTGAGGCACCTACACAAACTGTTCATTAATATGTTGGGTCAGAGTCTTTTCTGGAGCAGAGGTGAGCATTCCCTTGTGTTAATGGGAGTCTCCTTGTATTTCCAGCTGGCCCATGCCGATTTGGTGGTGCTCAGCGGCACATGCAGAGTGTTCTCAGAGACTCTGTAGAGAGCTCCGATGATGAATTCTTTGATGCACGAGGTGAGTACACATTTTTGTCCTCCCCTCCCCATTTTCCCCCAATTTTGCAACAACTAAGTAAACTCCTTAATGGGTGGTAACTGACAACTGTCTTTATCAGACAAAACCTCCATCAGTTCTTCTACCCAGGATTTGTGAATGGACCTAAATTTACAGGAGTTTGGTGAGGTGCTGGCGTGGATGAGTGAGATGCTCTGAGCTGAGTCTGGCATCAGAAGCAGCAAGACACCACCAGTGCAGACCTCCTGGGGTCTAACCCTGGTCCTTCCCAGCTCAGACGGTGTGTGAGGTTACAATGGGAGTGTTCTTGTTCACAGTTCCTGATGAAGGCCATGAGTGTCTATGTTACTGATTGGCCAACTGTTAAGACTAATGTCTTAGGTTTTCCACTGTATCAAAACTTCCTCTGGAGGGACTGGGATTTCTTCATGTTCAAGGAGCAGTATTTGAATGTTGCGGATTTCATCACAGGATATTCTGGCTTGGAAGGGACCCACAAGGATCATTGAGTCCAGCCCCTAAGTGAATAGCCCATATGGGGATCAAACCTGTGACTATGGCACTGTGCTCTAGCCAGCTAAGGTAACTGCAGCACTCCCTACGTCATCTGTGAGGCCCTGAATCTTGACGTGGTTGGTAACATGCCACGTTTTGTTCTGAAGTGGGAGAAGAATTTGTAGGTTGTGTGCATACACAATCATCCACCTTGAGTGGGAGGCTGGGGCTCTGGTTTTGGTTTTGTTTCCAGGAATCAAAATTTACGCTTTTCTGACACATTTCACTTGCTTTTTCTGAAAGAACTTTCCTAAACACTTAAGTTTTAATGTCAAAAGTAGTCTCTATGTAGTCTGAAATGCTTGCAATGACAGTTGCTATCATTATTATAATGGTAACTTGAAATAAAAAGTCACTGTTATGTAAAGATAATGAACAACATCTGTTACTTAGTTGTTAATCCCCTAATAATAAACTTTTAGTGAGAGATAATAATATGTGATAAATTGTTTCTGTGGATCAAAATTAAATGTCCATGTGAGACATCTAAGCATGAAGAGAATGAGAGATGGTGATCTTTTCCCACTGGGTATTCAATGAGAATAGGATACCCAAACTGTTTAAGCTGCATTTAAATCTTAAGCTTTAGTGAATGGAAGAGTTGGAAATATAAAAGAAATATACCATATGCTGATCTTCCTCCACACTGCCTTTGTGCTTTGCAATGTTCTACCATGTGCTTAAAATAGCTGTCTTGATGATTTCAGCAATGTTTCCAAATTCTGTGTGAAGCTGTAGTTGTAACCTTGAGCACCAAATCATACTTCAATTTTTTTCTCCATAAAGAGAACTAAAATGATGGTGTTTTAGACATTCTAGATGGGATAGTTTTCTTTGATGTGAATAGATTAAAAGTGTGGCTAGATTCTGTCTTTTGGGAGTATAATCACTTACTGTGCTTGATAGAATATTCTTTTGAATCGTCAAGATCCATTGTTCAGTAATGCTTTGAAGGTCAGTTTGATGCGTACATTTTTGGAGCTGGTGAGGCATGCATTGTAGACCGAGAACAAGAAATGCACTTTGAATTTGCTGGACATAGTCCATATTGAGTTGACAGATGTATTTCCAAGTTTAGATTACTTGATAGTTATCTTGCAAAAATGCTCTTCAAATCAAGTTTTGTTTAGATAGATTTTCATTTCTTCATATCCTGTCACTGGTCACCAGAGAGGTATCAGAACTCCTTCTCCATGGCCCACCTTGAGGAAATTGCAGACTGCGATGAGGTCTCCCCTCAGTCTTCTCTTCTCCAAATTGAACAAAACGAGGGACCTCAGTCATTCCTCATAAATCTTTGTCTTGAGGCCATTCCGCATCTGGATGCTCTCTAATGGCTTTAGATCTTTCTTGTATTATGGCACCCCAAACTAGACACAGGACTCAATGAGAGGTTGTGCCAGAGCAGAGTGTGGCAGTCACCTTCCTTCAGCTGGCTAGGGTACTGTGTCTGATGCACCCCAGGACTGCTGGCCCTTCTAGTTGCCAGGATGCATGGTTGACTCTTATTCAATTTGCCATCCACTTAAACCTTCAGATCTCTTTCTCCACGGCTTCTCTTCAGCCCCTTCTCCCACCGTTTGTAGGTCTACCCAGGGTTTCCCCATCCTGGGTGCACAATCCAGCACTCACACATGTTAAATTTCATATGGCTGGTGATTGTGGTCTGTTACTATCCCTCTGCAAGGCCTTGTTACCCTTGAGGCAGTCCGTAGGTCCTCCTAATTTAGTATCATCTCTGCTTTCTCCCAACCAGCCTTTCAGAAATAAAGTGTTTAAATGTCAGGAAAATAAATGTACACAGAGGTATAAATACTAGCGAAAGAAGCAGAAAGCGTTTCTACACTCAGAAGCTCTCTTGGTGATAAGGGAGCTTGTGTCTTTGGTAGAGGAAAACATACATGTGGGCTGAAGTAATTGGCATTATCAGTAGGTTAAATTTAGCACCAAAGAAACAAGAGGAGTTTGTTTGTGCTGGAGTGAGGGAGACCTGTCCAGGACAGAGACTGTGGCTTTCACCTCCTACAAATGAGGTAGCTTGATACCCTTTTTCTGTCTCCAGCATAAAATTTTCTGCAGTGTTTCTTACCTATATTCCTTACCCATTCTCTGTTACTTATACAGAGTGCTTCATCAATGTTTGATATTCTTGCAGGTGCACAGTGCAGCTGGAGTTGAGTACTATGGGGTTTCTTCATGGGAGAATTTGGAAGCTATCCCACATCTACCCATGTGTAATTTGTACTTCATAGACAGACTGAAGTAGGAAACAGTGGGCACAGCAGTTGGCACCATTAAAACATAACATTAGTCAGCTGCTTTTGTATTCTGAAAAACAGCTGGGGTCAAATCTCAGTTTCTCAAACAAAGAAGTTTCTGCTGGCAGCCTTGTAAATAGAGAATCAAACACCTGTATTTGAGATGAAACATCTGTACATGTTTTCACTGTTGATTCATCTGTCATGGCTAACTACTTAATTCAGTGAAATTCATACGGAAAGGGAGAAGTAATATTTTACTGTTTTATATTGACTGGCTTTCCTTTGTTTCTTGCTTTCTCTGTGACATGCCATGAGTTAGGCAGGAATTTTACAGTGTCAACATGAAAAATTATATTTGGTGCAGGAAATTACCTTATAATTTAACTGCAACATACCTCTGATCACAGAAGATGAAAATTACAGCTGAATACATCATCACAAAATTGTCAGTATATGAAATTCCATGGTTGACTAACACTTTTTCTCAGATTTGAAAAGCTGCTCAGAGAAGCCTGCACATTCCCATTTGTCTGTTTTATTAGACTTCCACAACAGACAGGCAAACACCCCCATACCGATTTCCCCACACCCTTTAAGCTGAAAAGAAATCTTCCATAACACAGCCCTGGAGGCACGTCTCTCATTTGTTTTCAGTTCTTTTCACTGGTCTTTGTACCTTCTGCACACACCTGCCAGTGTTTCGGGCCATCGACTGTGCTGCTGCTGCTTGGTCTTCAAATGCCAACACTGGACTTTGCTCAAGAAGAGCAAAGCAGGAAAACAAAATCTATAGTAGAGAACCATTATCTCTTATTTTTATTTGTGGGTAAAATGTTAACACTTATCAGCCAGACACTCATCACGGCTAGGCCCTAAGGAGGTCTTGAGAGATGTGTTTGTTCTTTGCTGCTACTAATTTGAACACTTTTCCATCTGTATTTGTGCAGTTGTGCTGAGGGGCTGGTGTGAGGCTCAGGGGGGCAAGACACATATTGACACTTCAAAAAGTTGGCAGAAGGAGCAGCAGCAGTAAGGACTAAGCACAAAATATCACTGAAAATACCCATCATACTCAGATGGATTTTTAAACCACTTGTTGCAGGGCGGGGGGAAGGAAGAGACCAAAACCATCATGGCTCCTTCCCTTCCTCCTTATAGAACTTCAAATAAATCAGCCTCTGAGAGAAAGTGACAAAAACCTGAGCAAAATGCTGTGCTGTTTGATTCTCCCTGCCTCAGGGAGCAGCTGAGATTTCATCAAGTCTCAGGGGGCTTTGCTTATTTGATCAATGACCTTTATCATTGTTTATTTATAAAAGGTATGACTTAGGGAGAGATAAGATATGATGGTGACTGTGAAGTGATTTATACAGTCCTTTATACGTATCCATCTTTCTCCTCCAATACCAAGATCTCTCTAAATGAGACAGGTACATATGAGATAACATGAAAGAACATAAATTTTAAAATAATTTAGAGGCCTCCTATAAGGTAGGTATTTGAAAAGTATTACTTTAGCCAGAAATGTCCTGGCTAAATTATTCTGGTTTTACTCCCATATTAGAGCCATTCTCTCTATGAAAGACAGTAAGAGAGGACAGAATTTGATCCATTCTCTGAATCTGCCTTAACAAGTAAAGAACTGTTATTATTTATTTTACTTAACTTTTTTCTGTGTGCTCGCCCTAGGTACAAAGACTATTCTGGGTTGTATCCAGCCACTTCCAGGCTGAAGTGCTTTGAGTAAATTTATTAAGAAAAGATTGATGCACCCTTCTTGCCAAATAGCTGTTAAATTCAAGGAAAATATTTTCCTACAGTTTCTAGGCCTGTTTGGTTTTGGGTTTGTTTTTTACAAAAGAGTTAATATCTATCTACAGGTTGTGTTTTGTGATTTCAGTTTTTCCTACCCCAATTCCTGGATAGGATCTCAATAAAAGAGATGGTTCTCTGTGCTGTGGGCTTGGTTCCATTCCATTATGTCCCTAGATGAAAATGTAAAGCTTTAGGTAGCACAGGTGCCTTTGATAAAAGGAGAAAAGTCTTGAACTGGTCTGTGTGTCTCCGTTTCCCTCTGCTCTGCCTTTTGAATGCTCTTCAAATAAAAAAAGTAAAAAAAAAAAAAAAAAAATCCAAACCAACCAACCACTCTAACACTCAAAGTGATTATTATAGACTTTGTTTTGCAGTGGCTGCTCAAGAGAGAAAAGATTCAGACAGTCCTCTCTTTTCCATGTTTTTCCTGTATGTAATCTATGAAGCATACAGGATTGCTGTAAAGCATATGAGTAGGCAAGAAGCTTTCCTGGACAGTCCCGCATAACCTGTTATATGTTCCCATCAGGGGCTCTAGTGAGTGTTTATTTCTCTCTTGATTGCTAGCTCTCACCCTGTCTTTTTTCTCTTGTTTGTGACATCAATTTATTCTGTTCTTTTTCCTTTTACAGAAGAGATGGTGGAAGGAAAAAATGCTATTCTCATAGGCATGAGCCAGTGGAACTCAAATGACCTTGTTGAGCAAATAGAAACAATTGGGAAGCTTGAAGAAAATCAAGGTAACGTTTAGCTTGTTTTACATAGTGCTTAAGGGTTAACAAGAACGTCTGACTACTGAAGCAATTACTTTTTAGCTACTTTGTAAATAATCTACAGAAGTAATTTTAGAAGAAGGCATTTTACAGTATACCATAGTTAAAAGATTTACATAGATATGTAAGTGACATTTTAGCGCCGAGAAATGAATTGCAGTGATCTCTTTCAGGAGAAAACTTTGGCAGACCAGGTAATACAAATTTATTTGCTTCAGTGGGAAGTCAGTGTTGGACTCATCTGAACAACTGTGAGATAGATTACAAGACTAAAACTTATTTTTTCTTGTATTCAATGTGTGAGAGACTTCTTGTTGTCACCAGGTTATTTTGTCCTGAAAGTCAACAAAACCTTATCTGGAATTTCTATGGGAACACATAACTTTCATTTGGGGCCATTTTTATGTAAATATGTATGTAACTGTGAACCACTGAAAGGAGTGGGAAATGGGCATTGATACACCAGTAAGAATTTGGGACTTAGGATAGAGGCCTAAGCAGTGTTATTGTTTCTTTGGCTCCTAAATTGCGTAGTTGTTTGAAAATTAGATTACCTCGTTGACTTCAGGGAGAGAGAAAGACCTAGCTTGCTTCTCCATCAGTGATATGGGGCTCAGGAGTAATGCTGCTTGTTAATTAATCCCGTTTTAGAAATAATTCAATATACTTGTCCATTTTAGGAGGCTTTTCTTTATGGATTTTCTACATGTAGTCAATCCTGAAAATATCTGTTAACATGTTTATTTAAGTAAACAGGTATATATAAAAGTAATATTTATCTGAGTCACAAACTTATTCATTACCTACCATGAAAATAATTTTTTTATAATACTTAACTGACAGGTAGACACAATACAAATAGTGTATTTACAGTTGTTAAATAGGTAAAAAGATTTAAAAAGTCAGTTTTGCATTTGCTTTTAACATGATATCAAGGCCTCATTTATGTTGATTGCTAACTTATTCAGGAATTCAATGGCAATTTTTAAGATATACTATAGGTGTTTTACCTGTTGTAAATATGGCATTTTCTATGCTATGAAGTGCCAAGCAAAAGTAATACATTATTATATAAATTATGAGTTAGTCTTCTAAATAACTAGCCAAGAACCATTTATCCTTGAATTCTTGCAGAAATTTCTCTACTTGTCCCATTCCTGGCAAAGATTTAGAACAGGGTATTTTTTTCACTTTAGCACCTTTGTATGGGGATGGGTTTGTTTTACTTTTTCTTCCACAGTGCCCTTTGTGCTGGACACTAAGGAAAGAGTTGTAAGAGACTGCTTTTAAGAGTTTCTGCTGTTCAGAAACAAGGCTGAAAACAGGATGGGGTTTTTTTGGATTATGCAGTTGAATAACTGCTGCAGAGAATGTGAGACCCAGGGTTGCGTGCGAGATGTGCACAAACAAAGGAAGCAGTCCTCTGAATTACACTCCATCTTTCTTCATACAAAGGGTTTCTATTTTCATTTAAGCTAATTCTCTGTGATGTTTTGCAAATAAAGGAATTTTTATCTGTTCTTTTCTTTTCTTCATTTTTGTTCCTACACATCTGTTAGAAACCTTAGAACCAGCATACCTGACTTAAAACAGCCAGTGAATTAATCTATGCTAAGATGGATCTGCATTCTGATACCCTGTCACTTTTGCTGCCAGTTGGGTCACAGTTCATTGTGCTGAGCTTGACTGTTCTTAATGGAGATGCCAGGCAAGGACTGAAGTTGTTGAGAGCTGGGCTAGCACAAGTCTGAGCCAATATTACACATACTCTATCTTGTTAAGCCAGAATGTGATTTCACTGTTTCAGCAGTGCAAAAGAAAGCAGAAATCCTGTAAAGCAGACTGACAGAAATCTTCTTTGATGCACCCTTGCTAAATACAGAAAATAACACAAACAGCAATCAAGCTGAATTAAAAGTTCATGCAACTGCATAAATTATGTTGATGCAGATGCCTTTGTTGTTGTAGAACAAAAGTATTTTCACACATCATAGTTACGCATTTAAATTCATTAAAGTATTCTGCAAAATGCTAAGTATTCTGTCTATTACATTAAGGGAAGCTGCATGTACTCACCACTAGGAACAAATTCAGTCTGGTGGTTTTCAGTCATCCAGCTATCTTGAGATCACATCCTTACTTTAAATATATATTGTTAGTGTTTCTAAGTTTGAAGTTATTGTTGGTTTGTTTTTGCATAGTTTAGTGAAGGTAAGTTGAGGTAAGGTGAAGAAGACTTTTCATATACTTTGAATTTAGTATATGCTTTATATTGCATTACTTGAGTTTTTTGGTTTTTTGGGGTTTTTTTTGTTTTTTTGGGTTTTTTTGTTGGTTTTTTTTTTTTTTTTGTGGCGGAAATGAGAGTTCTATACATGTTAACTTATAAACCAGGAAAATACCTGTTACAGAAAAAAATGTCATTCAATTCAAGATAGTAATTGACATGTAAACTTAAACCCGTGTCAGCATTTCAAGGGTGAAATCCTGACAAAAAATGCTGGAGTATGCATTATCCATGAAGTCAAGACATGTTTGTTTGAGACCAAACGTATATAAGACTTCAAATAAGGTCACATGAATAAATACTAGGGTTATCCTCTCACCCTCAATTGCTATCTCGTTATATTGGCCTTTTGTAAATATGGGCTTGAGAGTTGGAAAGTATTATGAAAGCTTAGCATGCTGTTTATTTTTTCTTTTCTTTCTTCTCTCACACATGCAAATTAAAATATGAGAGAATCCAGAAACATCTCAAATGAATGAAGAACCACAGAGCTCCATAAGGAGATAATAAACTCTTGCCAGTGCAGTTGGAGTTTATCTGTATTGTTATGATTCAATCTCCATATACAGCCAGTAGCTTTTCAGCTCTTCAGCCTTCATTTTGTCACCTCTTTCCCCACCTTCCCTCAGTTCATTTTATTTTTCTAAAGAGTAGAAGAAACATGAAGCTGCCAAGGAATGGGCAATGCAGCTCAACGCCAGGATACCTCGGCTTTGCCAGCTGACCAGTGTCACACATCCATGGACATGAACCAGCTTTAATTACACTTAACAACAGTGAGAAAAAGGTTGAGTTGTTCTGCAGCTTTAGTAGATCAGACTGCCCTTCCTGAGCTGGTAACTTCCACATTAGGGAATTTTATTTCCTTCTGCCTTCCTAACTGGTGAGCAGAAGCAGTTGGCATTTTTTGGGTCATTGACATAGACATAACTGCTGTGTAACTTTGTGCAAGCTACATTGCAATATCAGACCTCTTTTTTTCATCAGATCTAATAAAATATACAGGCTTGGAAGTTTTTCTTGTATTAAGCTTCTCATTTTTTCTATGACTGTCTAGTTTTCTGCCTGTCTTCAGTGAACCAACAGCTATTGCTGGACAGCTCTAATTCTTGGACATTTTACCAGAAATGATAGGACAGGTTATATTTCATTACAGTTGCTGAATATCCCAGAACAAGCTTGGCTTTTGCAAAGCTAAGATTTCAGAATTTAGCAAATGCCAAGCTTGAGATTTTAATGTGATCTTCATCAATTTCCTTTACCTATTTGCCCCAAGACACTGGTTCTAATTACTTAGCAGTGTGATAGTAATGGATTGTATATATCAGGTTTGCTTACTGTCTTTGACATGGGTAGAGAGAGCTTTTGTCTTTAGCAGTGGTGGAAGATGTCTTGGAGGAAAGTTTGTCTAGCAGTGAGGAGAAAGTGCTTGTACATCTTTCTTGTCTGTGGATAGCTTTTTCCTACAAAAGCTTCCCTTAGAAATTTAGAGAGATGTGAAGATGATCTTCAGGAACATAGATGGATGTATGAGTAGGAAGGTTGAAATGGTTGGTTTAGATTATGTATTAAAATCACTGCAGCAAGATTTTTGCAGTAATGTCAGTTTGTGGTGTAGTTGTAGGATAATAAGTAATTGGCATGATTTTGTTTGGTTATTTCTTTTAATAAAAAGAAATATACGTCTTTCTAATGTGTGACAGAATTAGATAATATCTGAAACTTGGTGTGTACAGTCCCTGTTTGGTTTTTTTTTTTTTTTTTTTTTTGACTGTGCATTCTTGTACAACTGATGGTTCTCAGGAGCACATAATATCTGTCTTTCACCAGAAGGTGTAATTAATCATAGAGAGGTTTGGGTTGGAGGGACCTTAACACCCATTCCATTCTACCCCCTGCCATGGGCAGGGACACTTCCCACTGTCCCAGGCTGCTCCAAGCCCTGTCCAGCCTGGCCTTGGACACTTCCAGGGATCCAGGGGCAGCCACAGCTGCTTTGGGCAACCTGTGCCAGTGCCTGAGCACCCTCAGAGGCATTAATTTCTTCCTAGTACCCAAACTAAACCTACTGTCTTAGGTTTAAAGGCATTCTCTCTTGTCCTGCCACTGAATGCCCGCTGGCCTGCTGAAGAGAAAAATCAACCAGGCTATTATCCAAGGTCACAAATCCTGCCAGAAGCAGGCTTCTTTCCCTGGGCCCTGGGTCACAATATTTGTCATAGTGTTTCCTTCTGCATCCAGTAAAGGATGGAGATTCTCCTTGGCCCTCTTTTTATGTCTGACATATTTGTAAGAAGCATTTTATTTTGTCTTTTCTAGCAGTAGTTTTAAGACTGAGTTCTAGTTGGGCTTTAGCCCTTCCAGTTTTGTCCCTGTGTAACCTCACAACAGCCCTGTAGTACTCCCCAGTTGCTTGCCTCTTCTTTCAAAGGTGGTGTGCTCTCTTCTTTCCCCTGAGTTTAAGCCAAAGCTCTCTTTTCAGGCAGGCTTGGTCATCTTCCTTGCCAGCTCAGCCTGCATTTTCCAAAATGTAAATGTTACAGAAACCCACGCATGCACACACAAAAAAAGTGAAACAGGCAAAGCCCCAATGAATCTTGACTGTTTCATTGTTTTAAAACTTAATTTATTAAAAAAACCGAAAGAGGCCATATTTGGTATTTTTGTAGAAAATAAACAA